ACCAGGTAGTCCGCATCTACCAGAAGTTAGTGACTTTATGAACTGATGCCACGTTTTGGTTTGGCCGCCCCTAACTTTCTTCCAATTATCCCCTGCACTAGTCAGCATTGCGCGTCGTGGTAATCGGTGTTCAGGCATACGCAACACGTGGCCCAACCATCTCAGTCGATGAAGATTCATAACCTCACCAACTGATCTACCATCATTCCCTAATACCCTGTGTCTAACCTCACTATTACTTACCCGGTGATCCCAGCAGATGAGAGCAATATTTCTAAGGCACCTGTGGTCAAATACTAGTAACTTACGAGTATCTTCTACTCGTAAAGGCCATGTTTCACAGCCGTATAGTAAAACGGAACGAACTGCCGCGCAGTATACTCGTCCTATAATTGATAGACAGATATCTCGCCTTCGCCATAGGTGACATAAGTTGGCAAAGGCCAAACGAGCTTTTCGAATCCGTGCTGAGATTTTGTCAGACACCAACCCATTAGGGCTGATCAGACTTCCAAGATAAGTGAAGTTGTCAACGCGTTCGACTATTTCACTCACTATCCTTAGTTCAGGTGTTGACGCAGACCAGTCCTGAAGCAACAACTTGCATTTAGAGGGAGAGAAGCGCATCCCAAACATCCTGGCATTGTTGCTCAGTGCTATCAAAAGACTGCATTTTATCAGCATCTTCACCAAACAAGACTATGTCATCTGCGTATTCTAAGTCGATAAGTGGACCTCCTGGTAGATCAATTCCTGAGAATTCAGTCGATGAGAGCGTTATTTCCATCAGTAGATCTATGATGAAAATAAAAATGGAGAAAGTGGACAGCCTTGGTGGACGCCACTTGAGGTTGCGAAAGCAGATGACAGTTCGCCATAAGCTCTGACTCGAGTAGTAGTGTTCGAGTAAAGAGCCTTCACAAGGTTTATGTACTTCTGAGGTACGCCTTTCAATGACAGACACTGCCACAAAACCTCTCGGTCCACAGAGTCAAATGCTGCTTTTAAGTCAAGGAAGACCACCATTGTCGGACACCGATAAGTATGCATGTGTTATAGAACCTGACGAATGGTGAATATGTGGTCGATGCATCCACGACCAGGTCTGAAGCCAGCTTGATTCTCTCGTGTTTGCAGTTCACGAGGCGTCCGATAATTATTGAGGCTAGTATTTTAGATGCTATATTAGTTAAACTAATCCCTCTATGGTTGTCACAGGATGATTTTGACCCTTTCTTATATATTGGGACGATAAGTGATTGTGACCAGTTAGATGGGATTTTAGCTAAAATATTAGTCAACCTACTCCAATGTTCCATTCACACTGTCTGGGAATGGTGGGTAGTTGTAGAGTAGCTGAATACCAGCTAAACTGCTTAAAGTGTTCCGCCCATCGTTCTAAACGTTTGGACTGGAAGCAGATGAGTGTCGTTTTATTCCGAAATAGTCTGACTTACACTTGACTTATTAATTCCAGTTTATTTTATTAGTCTGTAGAGTTGTCTTGTGTTCCCTATAGCCGCCGTCTTTTTCATCTCTTGCTTTCGTTACCCATCACTGCTCACGATCGTTCCTTAGACTTTTGCTTAACCTAGATCTGATTTCTTTACGCTCTTCATCGTATTCAGAACCTGATGGGATGAGTTTATGAGAATCCATCAGTGCAATAGACCTTGAAGAAATCCATTGGTTCTTTGTAACCCTGTGGTTTAAATCACTAATAGATGTCACTGCTGTTTGCACAGCTGATTGTATATCTTTCCAAGCAACATCTGGGTCAGCATCGTTTTCAGAACTACCTAAGTGTGACCTCAGTTGTTCTTGGAACCTAATTTTGGTTTTCTCGTTACTCAGTTCAGTTCTAATAGGTCTTTTTGTGTGTAGCTTTTTGCGTCCAGTGAGGCGCAAGCAGATGCGTGCTCGTATTAGGGAATGATCGGAGTCCAAACAGGTACTCCAGAATGAGCGACAATCTTCTATCGACCCTCTCCAACGATGACTGATGGCAATATGGTCTATTTGAGTCCATTGTTGGTTTGGTGCAGGGGGTCGCCATGTTAGACGATGTCTCTCCTTATGCTTAAAATTTGTTTGCTAAAAATAAACGGTTGTCTGAGCACAGTTGCAGCAGACGATCAACATTATCTGTTCGCTGTGCCGGAATACCAAAATACCCACCCAAATGTACTTCTGTTTCGTTTAAGATACCTACCTGGGCATTAAAGTCACCTGCTATGAGTACTATGTCTGAACGTTTAGCTTTCTGAAGAAGTTCAGAGAGTTTTCTGTTAAATTCATCTTTCACTTCATCCGAACTGCAGTCAGTGGGATCGTAGGCAGAAACGATAAAAAGGCAACGACGTGTGTCCCTATCCTTCCGAGTTCTTACAAAGCCGTTTATTCGAACAGCGCATAGACGACTGTTAACGGGGATCCACTCTAATAGCGCTTGTTCCGCCTTCATGCTTAGTTCTATGCCTACACCTGCCAGTCCACGAGAACTAGCCATCGGGTCGCCAGATACACGGAGGGTGTATCTCGTCGGCTCTCCGTTTTGCCGAGGTGAGGTCAAGTGAATGACCATACTAGGATCCTGTATGTGTGTTTCTGAGACACAGCATACATCAATGGTACGAGATTTCAGGGTTTTAGCCAAGGAAGCCTGCTGACCGGTTTGACATGGTGTGCGTACGTTGGAGGCTCCAATGGGTAGTTTGGAGCGAGGTTTCAGTAGATCTGGGACAGTGTTTTGAGCACTAGAATCGTTGGCTATGGTGACACTTAATGAGAAAACCAAAAGAGGAAGCTTAGATTTGAAAGTCGATGTAGGAGGCATAATAGGAATTGAAGAGGGAGGTTGATTATGAATACAGTGGTCTTGAGTGCTGTCAGAGGTATAACGGCGGTTATCACTTCCCGATTGCCCACACCGTGGGAGGGTTCTTCTGGAGGTACCTGAAAACGAAATTGGATTAGAGGTGGTCATAGTGACCTGAGAGCGTAACCGCAGTGCCCAAGAGACAGCTGTTTGAGGTCGGTCACACACGACCTTTTTATGAGTAATTTTTGTGTTAGCTCCGTGCTTGTTGAGACCTTACCGTCGGAGACGGATATCCATGGGATAAGGCGAGGTGTGCATTTTTAGGGTCGACCTTTTCTAACCCCACCCCTCCGTTTGGGAAGGCAGTGTCGCTGTTATGCTGGTTGTCTGAAGGAAACACCTTACTGCTGTCACACCTCTGTACAGTCAGCAGTACGACTTCACCTTCGGACCTTGAATTTGTTGCTTTTAGTCTTACCGCTCTTCAACTGACCTGTCTGGCATGGTAGGACCTTGGGGAACGGTTTTTCCAGCCAGTAAAGCTCAGTTGCTTCATCACGATAGGCAAGCAACGGTCGGGCTCTACTGATCAACGTCTTATTGAAGTTTTAAATTAGAAAACAAGTATAATGACTAGGCTATTGTAGTTAAGGACCAACTTTACATCATGTGAGAACAAAATCATTGTTCATATATTTTTAATTACCAAGTAAGTTGCTTAGTTTTATTCAAGTAGTTTTCTGGTGCATTTCAACAAGTAACTTCCAACTTATCATCTATAAATTCGTTCACTGTAAGATATCTTCCGTCAGAGGTTTAGTATGTTTAGTGACTATATGTTTTGTTGTCTCATTTACAGTTTTCAAGGCATAGAGCACTTGTATTTGTTCTCTTACATATGTTTTTGCTTTCCCACTTGGTAGTAGTATTTTAGGCATTCACTATGTTTTTCCTAGTGGAGTCTTTTTAGTTAGGTATTCATTCATTCATTCATTTTAACACATAAGTATAGGTACAGGGAGGCACCAAATACATATGCGCCACACGAATCTCAATTGATTTGTGTGAGGGCTGTGATACTGCCCGGGTGCCCAAACCGAAGCAGGTGGTTTTCTTAGGGGGCCACACCCCGAGCCTTCGACCTGAACGTCTGACCCACAAGGCAGTGGAGCATCGTGAGGAGATGCAGTCCCATGGTAGCCGGTGACCAACGATTGGTTCATACGCCATTTGTTCCTTCAGGATACTGGAGCCCATGTGCACCATTGGTTTGGGGTCCGGTTAAAGCGCCAGACATTCGCTTTTCGTCCCCTCATTTTTGTAAACAACACCCCCGCCACGAGAAGGTAGTGAGTAGGACTTCCCTGGCAGAGGCTATATACGCATGGCCATGTGAGAGCATTTCGAGAGTTAGGTAACCATATAATCATGGTGGATTGTATCTGTAAAAGCTTATTTAGTACTTTTCATAAGAAATATGACAATCAGAATTTTCCTCGTCGTTCTTACGTAGTATTCTTGTAACGATTTCATTTTTCAACAACTATGTCCAAACAACACTTTATTGCAGTTAAAACCTGTTTTGATCAATTTTGGGAAAGGTAATAATCTGTTCTCTAATAGACATGTTTGTACGCAGTTCTCAGCGGTGTTAAGAGTTTGTGGTTCAAAAGTATTGTACTAACAACACTTGATCCATACAGTATTAACAAAAGGATAGAATATGATTAACTGTGGTCTACAATCTTCCGAATCACACCTGTCTGAGTACTGAACCTCAAGTACATTTTCCGACTTCTATGTGCAAACATGGGTTTCCTGTTGTCCTGTGGAAGTAACAGTTTAAAATGTTGTTGTATTTACCTTTACAGAGATCAATATCTTATAAAAATCAGTTTAGCTTTAAATATTCTGTCTTGTGGTTCTGTTTTTTAACCCTAACTAGCATTGACTAATAATTGAAAACATTTGTTAATATTTCACCACACGCCTTAGGTCATAAAATATGTTACTTGAATATTATATAGATACTCATATGTTACAATGTGTTTGTCATTCATTTCTGACACATTTTACTTTATCTTTATACATAGAGTTTCCTGATGTGCTGCATTGGGTAGTGGTTTATCGTAATCGGTGGTTATCATAATCAAGATTTTTCTGCTTTGCGTACTTTAAAATGACATCTACAAAGCCTGGAGAATGGGTCATGCAGGCTCTACTTCGTCAGTTAACCAACTTAGCCCAATTGAAGATTGAGAAAGCACTTGGAGATGGTCAAGAAACAAATCTCGTGAAAAGTATGAAACTGAATGAAGATGCAGCCTATGAACATCTCATAAGTGCTTTTGGTGTTGCCGCTGAATTCGCTCTTCCTTCAATTTTGTCAACACTTTCACTATGGTATAGATCTCAGCACTCATCTGGGAAATATTATCAATTCCACCAGTTTCAGTCTTTAAGTTCAGCCAATGAGTACATTGGAAACGCCACTTCAATGGCAGTCCAACGTCCTTTAGCTAACGATAGTAATCATGTTGTCGAAAGCCAACAAGTTTCATATCTTGCTGCCAATAAATCGGAAAAGACTATCAAGTGTGCCTCAGAATCATGTTCGCTGTCAAAATCTCATAATTTACATTTACCAGAGTTATCTGTTCTATTTGAACGACGTGATGTACGTTATCACACATATATTACATTTTAATTTCAGCTTGCCATTGATATTATATTCTGTCATGTCATGCTTGCAGTTTTAAAGCAATTGCCTTTTCATCCAGGCCATAATGATGTCATTGAATCAATCTTAGAGCAATGTTTCGGAAGATTCAACTATAGAGAGGAGTAAGTCTTTTAACCTTATTTTTAAAGTAGTGCTATGTATGACCGGGTAATGTAGAATAGCCGTAAGTTACAACAATTTTTTATTCATATGGTTATCTAAGTAAGCAAAAACTTGTAAATCCCAACTTAAATTCGTTCTTTCAAATTCTAATCATCACACGAGGCTCTCATATATTTGGAGAGCTCTTATTGTTTTTCTACTGACTACTCTTTTTTATTGGTGCTGTGACTATTGAAAATATTTTCTTTTGAAAAAAATACAGTTTGCAGCCGAAAAACAGTGAAAATATAAATCTCGTCGCTGATCTATACGCAGAAATTGTCGGACTGTTATTCCAGTCAAGGTAATTTTGTTGCACTTTTTTGGAATTTTTCAATTTTTAACTATATACTTACGATATAAATGTATGCAACCGTTTTAAAATGGGACTTACGTTTCGTGGATTTACGGTAGGTAATTCATTTTTATCTCAAACCCAAAGTTTTTTACTTGTGCATGTTCAATTATTCATAAGCATTGGTTAAAAGTCGCATATCTAAATAGCGCTTTATTATTATTATTATTATCTCCGGAATGTTAATTGGATTTAGTACTTATCTAGACATAGGTATATTACACCTATAAATGTTTAAGATTATTGTTTTTGATACTATTGCTGATAGTGACAAATAGTGGTGTAAGGAATCCTGATGGCTTAGCGCTTAGCATATTCGATAATTAATAAAAAATATGCCTACATCACTATATCATATAATGTTATTCTGAACAACTCACCAAGTTTACTTACGAAACTTTCAAATAAAAATGTGCGATTCAGGTTTACTGTGCCGTAAGATACTGTATTCATATCTCTCTTGTATATTTTTGTTCTATACTCAGATTCGCTCTGGTACGCCACAAATTTATGAGTTGTCTGAATGATCTGCGATCTAAAGAAAACAGTCAAAATAATAGAGCTAGTATTGTATCTCTTATAATGGGGATGAAGTTTTTCCGGGTTAAAGTAAGTTATTTTTACCGGTATTTATGTCAATAAATTTAGATAAAATTGCGAATTATAAAGCTAAATTAAGCAGTGCATAGTGACACGAGGGTAGGCTTTTTATCACTTAAATTTCTTTCACATTATGTGACCTACTTAAGCGGAATATTTCCGTCATTGAATCACTAAATTATCCAGAGCAGATATTTTTAAACTGCATTATATAAGTTAGTGTGCAGCCAAACGTATCGTTTTAGTGGTTTGTTCACGAGATTTTGATTTTCGTACAGATTCCTTAGTTGTCTATTAGGTGATTCTGATTATATTTTTGTCATCACTTGACACTAGTGTACCTCTGTATATTAGTTCAATAATTATTTTTGATTAAAGTAGTATCCAGTACATATTCTAATGCCTTAATTTTTACGACGCATACAGTCTCGCCTCCCAATATTCATATTACCAGCCACATATATTCATACAGGAAATTCATCACAATTATTCATAACGTAACCTGCCATTATTAAACCTGTTTACGGGACACTGGTAAATATTGTTGTTTTCTAAGTCATTTCTCAATATAAAGTGTTAATCACAATTCATTAAAGAGACTGGTCTAAATTTCACAACTAGATGAGTAAGCTGGGTAATTTTGCATGATTCAAATAAGACCTAATCAGTTTCGAATAAGTTCACTAGTCTAGTGTTTCGACCTTAAATCAAATGTAGTATTTATTAGCTATTCTGTTTGTAATTACTTACACAAATAATCCAAGACCGTAATAATGAAAGTAGTCTATACTGTTGAAGAAATAGCCTTTCATTTACTACATTTTAAGTATTAATATGGTAACGCTCTCTTTCGAATTGTAGTCCAAGGGTGCCCCCGAATGCCCTGGTACGGCCAAGAGTGGGGAGAGTCCGCTCTCCCTCTCGAAATGCTCTCACATGGCCATGCGTATATAGCCTCTGCCAGGGAAGTCCTACTCACTACCTTCTCGTGGCGGGGGTGTTGTTTACAAAAATGAGAGGACGAAAAGCGAATGTCTGGCGCTTTAACCGGACCCCAAACCAATGGTGCACATGGGCTCCAGTATCGTGCGGGGACAAATGGCGTATGAACCAATCGTTGGTCACCGGCTACCATGGGACTGCATCTCCTCACGATGCTCCACTGCCTTGTGGGTCAGACGTTCAGGTCGAAGGCTCGGGGTGTGGCCCCCTAAGAAAACCACCTGCTTCGGTTTGGGCACCCGAGCAGTATCACAGCCCTCACACAAATCAATTGAGATTCGTGTGGCGCATATGTATTTGGTGCCTCCCTGTACCTATACTTATGTGTTAAAATAAATAAATAAAATAAAATATAGTCCAAGGGTATCTTAACCTCTCCGTAGTAAACCTAATAAAATCACAGACTTTGTTGGAAATTTTTATACAGTCTGATGTTTCATTTTCATAGCAGAAGTTTGTCGCGTTAAAGAATCCGAGCAACCTAATTATATTATAAATCGCAATTTGAAAACCTTCGTTTTATATAGTGTTAATTTTAGTAGTAGGCTCAGGAGTTTTATGTCTAAATATTTGCTAGGCCAACAACTATCTGGTATTTTAGCTATTATACTAAGGCAGTATGCTACTACTCAATTTTTTAACTTTATTATCTAAACTTTGTTCGTGTTTCTAGGCTACTAATATGATAGATCAATCCATAAACCCGAAACCGTATAGCAATAATGACCACGACGGGTTTATTGAAGATGTTACAGGAGATTCAAATGATTTTTAAATTTAAAAAGTATAGATATAATGCAACGCATGTACGGGTCAGATTAATATGCAGGTTGTTGAGATATATGGCAAATTAAAAATAATAAACATGGCCAAAATGGAAATTTTTTAAAATTAAGACGACATATGGAATTTCAGTTAGGAATATGATGAGTTATAAACCCTACATAAGACAGTTCCTGCATTTAGCATAGTCAGTCAGTCAGCTGCAACGTAGGACCAGGCACGTATATGCATCGGTCCAAGTTGCCATACCGCATTAGCACAACAAGATGAACACCGGATTCATAGGAGTAGTTAATTCAGTGGTGGTAATATATAGAAGAAAGATTGTGTATAAGGAGATAGTAAAGGAAGAAAGAATTAGTTCCTAGACAGATATGAAGCGATTTTAATTTCTTAATTTAAGGAAGACAGAGAGTGTATACACCGACGCCATTGTGATCGATTCTGAGCCATGTCGCCAAGAGTCTCCAACCATTGGTTACGATAGTCACGCGGACCCCAACCAGGCAGTCTGAATCTCCAAACATGGCTCAGACCAGAAGTTAGTGACTTCAAGCACTGATGCCACGTTTTGGTTTGGCCGCCCCTAACTTTCTTCCAATTATCCCCTGCACTAGTCAGCATTGCGCGTCGTGGTAATCGGTGTTCAGGCATACGCAACACGTGGCCCAACCATCTCAGTCGATGAAGATTCATAACCTCACCAACTGATCTACCATCATTCCCTAATACCCTGTGTCTAACCTCACTATTACTTACCCGGTGATCCCAGCAGATGAGAGCAATATTTCTAAGGCACCTGTGGTCAAATACTAGTAACTTACGAGTATCTTCTACTCGTAAAGGCCATGTTTCGCAGCCGTATAGAAGGACGGAACGAACTGCCGCGCAGTGGCACTTACAAATAAATATGTAGCAAAAGCAACTGGAAAATATACACATGTTTAGTACAAAAAAACATCCAGTAAAATACTTCATAGCCCCCAAATGCCCTGGTACGGCCGAGAGTGGGGAGAGTCCGCTCTCCCTCTCGAAATGCTCTCACATGGCCATGCGTATATAGCCTCTGCCAGGGAAGTCCTACTCACTACCTTCTCGTGGCGGGGGTGTTGTTTACAAAAATGAGGGGACGAAAAGCGAATGTCTGGCGCTTTAACCGGACCCCAAACCAATGGTGCACATGGGCTCCAGTATCCTGAAGGAACAAATGGCGTATGAACCAATCGTTGGTCACCGGCTACCATGGGACTGCATCTCCTCACGATGCTCCACTGCCTTGTGGGTCAGACGTTCAGGTCAAAGGCTCGGGGTGTGGCCCCCTAAGAAAACCACCTGCTTCGGTTTGGGCACCCGAGCAGTATCACAGCCCTCACACAAATCAATTGAGATTCGTGTGGCGCATATGTATTTGGTGCCTCCCTGTACCTATACTTATGTGTTAAAATAAATAAATAAATAAAATAATAATTCATTTTCATAATGCAGTTCTACATTTCTAAAATATTTTTCAGATGCATCCAATCGAAGATTTTGTGAAATGTTTCACATTCTTACAAGAATTAGGTCAATACTATCTGGAAGTGAAAGAAATTGAAATCAAGCATGTACTCTCTGATTTGTTTGTTGAAATTTTATTGCCAGTAGCTGCTGTTGCACGTCAAGAAGTTAACATTCCAGCATTAAAAACATTTGTAGAAAATTTATATCCAACAAGTTTGGAATTGGCTAGTAAAAAGAAACATATCCCAGTAAGTATCTTTTTGTATATATATTATATATTGTGGTATGAAGTTGTTGCTCATTATTGAACGATTTAAATTAATCAAAGTGTTAAACCACGTTCGATTATCATTTCACCACTACTTTTTTTGTTAACCTTAATGTTTTCAAGATCTGAAAATTAGCAGAGGCGAAAATAATAGAAGTGCAAATAAAGTTGTAAGATCTGACAAATAAGCATCATATCCTAAGGTAGGTCTTAGAGAATCCGTTTGTGATTGTAGCAAATCACTTGTGCTTAGATTAAGTAGTTACGCAATTATATCAGCTTATGGTGGTTAGAAAACGAAATATTTGGAACATATTAAGTTAAGGCCAGTTAAGTCATGATTTTGCATGATTTGTATGAGAGTTCAACAGAGTGATTTCATATTTATTTAATATATAAAGACTGGTATGTTCGGGAAACAAAATAAGTATGGGCCACAAATAAAGAAATGAAATAATAAGGAAGTAAAGGAGGGTGGGAATTACAATCAAAATTAAGCAAATAAATAAAAGTAAGGGAAAGTATTTTACAATAAGAAAGTTCAGTCCCAAAATATAACCATAAGTAATTCAGTTAAAAGAGTTCCTATTACTTTTACGAAGATTATAATAGAAAACTAAACAATGATCCCCACTGGCTTTCATTTTCCACTCACGTCTAATGGCTTCTCAAGCCACTAAGGTGCATCCAAATCGGGAAGTCTATGTATTCGGTCATATGGGAGTTCTGTGCAACTTCCTTTCACACCACGGCTTTCAGTATGTGTGGGTTGATCTAATATCACATTACCCCTAGCAGTTACACAACCATCCAGATGTACAAACTTTACCATTACTTCTAACGGATCACTCCAAAAGTGTGTGCAGGCACATGTTCCCGCCAGTCTTGCAGAAATGCTTTAAATTTAAAAAGTGCAAATTACATGCCATGATTATGGACACTGATTGCTAGCTGTTTAAGCGCGACTCGGATATATTGTTTATCATCACACAGTAAGACAATATCATCTCTATACTCATGGTCATAAGGTCTCTCTAAGAAATAGCTTTGGAAGGAGTATTCGGTGGTATTGTTTATCTGTTTCGAGAATGTCATTATTGACAAAGTTGAGAAGGAATGGTGAGATTGGACAATTCGTCCTAATCCCCGATGATGGGATGGGACAATAAGGAGAAATTGTTATATTCCTCACTCTGCTTGAGGTGTTTGTATGCAAAGCTTTCAAGGTTTTAGTAAAATCCTCACCCACACCCTCCTTCAATAGGGAATCTCGAAGCATGACCCTGTTCAACCAATCGAAAGCGGCATTGATGTCAGGAAACAGAACGATTATTGACCTACAATAACTGTGGTGGTGCTCTAATAATTGGTGAAAAGTGGGAATGTGATGAACACATCTACGACCTGATAGGACACCAACTTGCTCCTCTCAACTCAGTTTATCACGGGTTTTGTACCATCTACAGAGTATGACAGAAGCCAATAGTTCGGACACAACCAAAAGTAGATATCTTCCCTTAGTTGTCAATTAAATTACGTAGGTCCTTTTTAAAGATGGGGATGAAAATCGCTTAATTCCAAGATGTTTTAATAATCTACGTTTCTCAGACTTTTACGAACAAACTAGTCAGTTGCCTGACCGGAGTTCGACACCATCCATAAAAGGAGCAAGTGCTAGGTCGTATGTATGTAGTCGTTTTACAATCATAATCATTACAAACCAAAGATAGTCACTCATTGTTGGTGATAGTTCTTCAATTGACAGAGAAAACGACGTATTTAGCATCTTGTTAATGTTTGCAATATAATGTACAATATATGTATAAACAAGTAGTTCTGATAAGTATATCCCTTTAGAAGACAACTTTTAAGATTGTTTAATAATTACATACCTTCATTGTATAGAGTATTTCCTCAACTTCAGCAGCCTTTCAAACTGCATTTATACTTTTTTTTCTCAAAGGCCTTATTCCCGTTAGTGACTTGCTTGCTGTGTGTTGGTACTAAATCATTTTTCTTGAATAATTGGACCAATTTCTTGTCTATCTGCTTAAGTCATCTTAAAAATCGGACTTCTAAAGTAGCTTTGGTCAGTTTACAATCATTATCCTGCATACTTTGGTAAGTTGTAAGCTGTTAGTTTCAACAATTAAAGTCAGTTATATTATCATTCAGCTGTTGGTACGATAACATATGTGTACTTTTGGTTCGATCACAAGATTTTAATCGCTGAAAAATTCCCATTATATTAAAACACAATTGTATGAACGAAGAATATTCTTTTCAATGATTTCTCATCAGGTTCTACAATTATAAATCCAAATTAATAATCCATAAAATTGGCCAGATTTAAGGCAGAGTACATCATTTGGAAATTGTAATATGTGAATCAAGGATTGCTGTTTGTTATATAAAATTAAAACAGATCGTTAATGTTGGAGCTGATTAATATGAAGTGTTAACTTGAATCAGTTTATAAGCGAAATGAAATTGTGCGATAAATGATCAGAATAAATATGGGCAACATGGGGTGAGAGAGAAAATAATGGAATAAAAATTGGAAATTACGTAATATGTAGAATAATATGAATTAGATCAGATATAGTAGATTTAGGGGTGGATATTGAATAAATTCCTCAAAAAGGTTATCAAATGTAATAATAATAATAATAATAATAATAATAACAATGATAATCATAGTCTTAAAAATAATAATAGTAATTCACTTGATATTGTTTTACTTGAATCTTCCCATTGATGTTTAGGACTGCAATTGATCGGTCTCTTATTGGCATATGTAAATACTGTGCGTATTGCCTCGATATTGCTTTAATTTACAAGCATTATAAGCGAAGATGGATAGTGGCTAGCAGTGGAATCCAGGACGCGCGTTTCGTCCTCAGTAGCTAAGTGGATAACGTGATGGCGTTTGAAGCGGACGGTACTAGGTCCGAATCCCAGAGTGAACATCAACTCTGATATGCAGGTACATCCAGCTGACAGAGTCCCAAATAAGACTAAACGCGCGTCCTGGATTCCACTGCTAGCCACTATCCATCTTTGCTTATAATAATAGTAATAATAACAATAATAATAAGTTTGGGACATAACATGAAGATTAATCAAATTACGTCACCATATTATAAAATTGATTATTAAGTAGTTGGCCAGGGTAAAAGGATTGGCTGAACATACTCCTTTTAAATGCAAAGCTCTGGCTTTTTGATCCGAATAGCAATTGCTTCAGCCGTCTGTAGGGTTCGCAGTCTGACTGAATTAGGTAGACTGTTGTTAACACGATAGATTATTGCAAAAGATTGTTCCATGTTGGCTGTATGTCCTGTCTGAACTAGATGGTCTAAGATGGAGCTGTTAACAGTCTCGACCACACCTTTGCTTAACCACACGGGGAGGTACTCACAAGCCCGAATGTACAATAAACTAGTATTGTTAATCATTGTCCAGCATGTGGTGGGATTTTTACTGCGTAGAGAAAAAATACATTATGAATTTACACCTTTTTGATTAGAGATGCACTGATTCCAGGCAGATAATGATAACTACCATCGATAGTTGTGGTGACTTATAAAGTTATTAATTATTATAAATGTTTATTTGATTCGTACCCTTAAACTTCTCAATGATACATACCCTCTAAATGTTATCATTGCTGCCTTTCAAATGATCTTGTTACTTTAAAAAAAAATGGATTACTTAATTTATATTCAGGGTCTACATTGTACGTATCAAAGGTGAAAAACATACAGAAACTCAAACAAAATTACACACAATTATCAATAGTTTATTTCCAAAAAATCAGAAAATTATTCTACCAAAAGATGCACCAATCAATATATTTGTTCGTATTATTCAATTTATTGCTCATGTAAGTGACTATTGTGTCGTACCATAATTCGGGTATTGATTCATTTTTTAAAATTTTTTGGCTTTGTGTACATTCAGCCAATTGGTAAATGAATTATTATTAATTTAATGTTATTTCGTTACGTTTCATTGATACATGCTATACATTTCAGTAGATCTATGTTCGAGCTTTTTAATTACTATTATTAAGTTTTTAACTGTTATGTTTCATTTACTTGAAGCCTGATGATTTATTCAGACGCTTTCCAACAAGTCTGCCTCAAGGCCTTTTACATAAACCTATCTAATGCGTTGAAATAATCATGATATATTACATGTAGTCGATTATTAGGGAAAAAATCCTGTTACTTTCTATGGATGAACGTGTATTAAGGTGATTTTAAGATCTTAATATAACTGAGTGAACAAGTTGTTGGTGACTTTTCGCACATCACTTGATTATCCAAATTAAACAAGTTGTTAGTGTAGTTGTCTACAGTGAAAATAGTAATCAAAGCATAGGAATATGCATTTCATTTATTTTTGGTGATATAGTTTAGTATTCCAATTCTTAATTTACATACTCAAAGCACTGTTTGCATAAATTAGTGACTGAAAAGGACACAATTTAAATATTACATTGTTACGAACCTGTGAAAAAATAATTGAAATGGTGCTGATAACTAATAAGATTATTTGTTTTGAAAGGATATTTAGGCGAGCAGATAAATAGCGATCCCACGTCTAAATCATCTGAAAGTGGAAAATCGCATTAGGAAGTACACAAATGTTTATTATTATTATTATTATTATTATTATTATTATTCAAAATTGTTACGTATTTTCTTATTACGACTCACCTATTCTTATTGTTTAGTATTATTAGACATTACTTCACTTAAAAAGTCCCCAAATCAGAACACGATTAAACAAAAACGTAATTATATTCCAGATAACAACGTGGGATGGAAGTAGGTTTCACAATAAGAAAAACGTTAGTACATTTATAATTTTTACGTAAGAAGATTCTATAGTCTTCTCCAAGTATCTGCTAGCGTTGATTGGTTGAGAAGTGGTCAATCAACGTGCCTCAACGCAAACCTGTACGGAATATTCTTCAATCCAATCTATATCCCTCTAACACACAGCCATTTGACTGGTCCTCCTGGTATCCCACAGTGTCCGGAAATCCCATATACCTGTGTTACTTGTTGCTCTGGTTGCCAAAAGTGGCATCGGCCTCGTGATTTACTGAGAATTTCAACCTTTACGTAATGGATTGGATTTCATTGCTTAGTACTTTGTATGAAGTCCAGCACATATTCACAAAATTAGTATCCCAAGTGTATTATTTAATTGTAGTGATGAAATCATATTTATTGGTTGAGATCTGAAAATATAATCGGTTGTTTTTTGCATAAATTATTGTTGACAATCTTTGTTACAAAAAGCTAGTTTACCTAATGGTTATCCCAATACTTTTCTTTTTGTTTTTTCCGCTTAACCAGGAAAAGCTTGAGTTTGCCATGAAAGAAGTTATCATTGAGCGGTTAGGGGTGAATGGCTTACAGAAAACTTTGGTGATGCCAGAGGTGAATCTGAATTATATACATATTCACTCGCAGGATTACAAGCTAATGTATTTTCTATGTTTTTTAAATTCCATACATGCATAATGCTATGTTGAGTGGATTATTAGTAGGTTTTTACTAAATTGTACTTATTGATCCCGTTTTAGTGAATAAATTAGAAATAATCGGTTTGCCCTAGATGAATTGAATATTTCTACTTTTTTCACAGGTTGGATGACTATCTAAAATAAGTAATACCATACATGTTATATTGATAAGCTTTTCGGCAAAGAGTAGTAAAAGTTGTTATGTGGGATATGTACAAGAATCTTCATATTTACCAGCTTTTTAGTACTTATATGGGTAATTTGTGAAATTCTGAGGGAAAATGTCAGCTTTTTCGACAGTAAACTACCTAGAATTCTTTATACAGGTGATTCGATATAGATTTAATCCGAAACAATATGTTCCATTAAGATCGTTTTAAATTATCTCACTTTTGATAACCTTTTCACATGTTTCCAAACGATATCTCTAAGAATTAGGAGTAAGGACACCATTCAGTGATAAAAATGTGTGTTGCAGTTTTTAATAAACAATTTTAACTATGTCATTGTGTTATTTGTCGAAGTTGCACACCATCCAACTGGTTCTCTTCTCGTGCGTTTTCTCAAACTAGTAATGGTCTGTAATTTTATCTCTACTAGTTATTCTTCTTATTATTTTTAGCGAATAAATGTAGGGATATGTGCATTCCTGCTGATTGCCCATGGCCTTCAACAGAAGGAGGGGGAACCGCCTATGCCTCAACAATGCATTGGTGCTGGCGGGGTTGGTGGTGGTTTTAGGCAAGCTGTTATTAAACGCTCTTTTCATGGTACCAATTTGAATGAAGCATTGGGTTCCTTATTAGGAATACAAAGTTATTTAGTACCTGTTCGAAGAGCATTTGAACATATTTTACGTCAGCTGGATACTCAAGTTTGTCGTACAATGATGTTGCCAAAACAAGAAGTTACTCAAAAAGAATTTGACGAGTTAATGACGTAAGCTGGGCTTAATTTTGTTGTGTTGAAGGTCTATGTTTTAAGTGTATGGTTTAGGTGTTTTTTTTAAGCATTCTTATTACTTCTTTTTGATTAACGTTATTTTGAAAATCACATAGACATTTTAACCGTTTTATTTGACAGTTTTAAAATCTTTATCTAGACTACCTGTTTTTTCGTTTCAGATTAACAGCCTTTGCATGTGTAGATATATTTAATGCATTTTCGTACCCTCGTGGCATGATGTAGTCATCACAGATTTTGTGAATCCACTGATCCACTGGTTTAGGTAGATGTTTTCGTCCTTTTTGAACTAAACTAGGGTTCCCATTATAATTGGCTGCAAGTTTATGCTATCATATTTCTTGTAGATATATAGAAGATGCCATTAATGTTTTATCACACCTTTCTATCAAATCAAAGGTGCAGGTACACCCAGTTGATGAATCTCGAATAAGACGAAACGCGCGTCCTGGATTCCGCTGATAGCCAAATTTCATCCATTCTGTGAACACTGATGCGAATGATTCTCTGATTCTGATTTTTAGGCGTTGGTTGTTGTGTGTTGGTAGGACATTAACTATTTATAGTTGGTTGATCTCTGAGAAGTGTTTGTTTTGTTCTTTAATGCTAATCGAATTTTATCTCTGAAGTTGCAATATGGTCACTAGCGTTAGTGAATCGGTATTGCGTTTACCATATTAAGATGCTAAATATTTGGAGGTGGTCGACAGTAAACCCTGAACTTGAGTTTCTTGCTAATTGATGCGCGTTGACGAGACGTAACTTTGATTCAAAATAGCTCAACGGTAACGTCTGGAACTGTGACGCTGGATGACATAGGTTCAAATCTCACAGTGAACATAGGTTTTTCCGGGATTGCAATCGCGCCACTGTCAAAAAGCATAAAATCAACGTCTGAGCTTTCTTAATGACTCTTTCCAGCCATTTAATACGTTGGGTGTTTGTCTGTTTTCCTTTAAACACATCTGTCGGTAAAAACTGTGTCATTTTTCTGTTTTTTCTTATAATAAAGAATAGCATCTTGAGACTGATAGTCCTTCCTATAAATTCCACAACGTTTCATTAATACATTTTGAGGGCGATTGTATCTAAATTCAGTTTTTACTATAACACAGTCTGGAGCCATAGACATGCCGGTATTAGTTATCTTTGTGGAACATTGGTAGTAGGCTTAGCTGTTTCTAAATAATAGTCATCTGCCTTGCATCAACACTTGTGTAAGTAGTAGTATCTCTACTCCATATAGTAGAGAATCTTAAAAGATATTCCGTAATATTAGAAGCAAATATTAGTTTAATAAATGGAGACAAATGTAAACTAAATGCAAAATGTTTTCTGGACATACCTTATCGAACTTCAACATTCAGTTTTTGTATGTATATAACTAATATCTTTTATAAATTACTTGAGTTTACTTAAACACGACAGTTATCCATTTTTTCGAGTTTTATCACCGTTTCTCATCATAGTTAGAGACGTTTGTCGTTTATAAACATCAGTGCCTCGAAAGTACTAAATAACCTTTAAACCCATTTTGCTAATTTACTAAGCTGATGAACTTATTCTGAGCATCTTCCTCATTACCTTTAAAAATAAAAATGTTATGAATAAATCATAAGGTAAATTATGACTGATGCTATGTCAATGATAACGTTCAATCTGTCCGCGTGTTTAGTATCCGTTTAATAATTTTAAATATTTCACAACAAACTTGAAATGTACACAAGTATTTTATTTTTTAATGTACTATTTTCTTTCATTTTGCTCGAATAGGGCAGACCGTAAGCCTAAACTGGATTTATTAAAGACTTGTGTTGCCTGTATTCCTCGTCTGCTTCCTATTGATATGACTAAACAAGAGATTCTAGAAATACTAGCTAAAGTTTGTCTGCATGTTGACGAAGACGTACGAAAAATGGCACAGCAAGCAATGGCCAACTTGATAGTTGAACTACCAGCTTATCGGGTTAAGACAATACAAGGTTAGTAAATACTTTAGTCAATTACTTCCACCAATATTGCTTAATGTATTTTTGTGAGCGAAATTGCAATTACAAGGAATATCTTGCCCATATCATATTCTGAATTCCATTGCATACCCTATTTCTGTTACCTTTACGAATAAGTGTTGTTTTCAACTGGGGTCAGTGACTGTACATACAATAAAATGTTGATCACTTTATAATTTCACAGCCAATAACATCATATTATCATCTACAATACAAAGATCAATGTAAAGCTATTCAGCATAAAGTGAAATCGTATTTTTGTATTTTGCGTCATTGTCCTTTATGTAGTCGATAAATTCAAAGGTATATCGTGGGGTATGCATAGGTATACGTCTTTTCAAGGGTTTGTTGGTCATTTTGCTATACGGTCGTAAAAGGATCTTGAAATGTTAAGAGTCGCGTGAAGTGGTAAACTAAGTTTGTCTACTGTGTGCAAATGTTGTTCATCCAAGAGGGTTTAATAATATTCGGTATGTTTGACGGGAAGCAGCACTAAATCCATGAGAAGTTCCATGGTCAAACATCTTGTGAACACAAGTCATTCTATCAAAACAGACTCAGCTTTCGACATCATCTACAAGGTAAGTATAAATTTCCCAAACACAATTGGCTCCCGTCTTCTTAACATTCCTGAAGTCTTCTCCATGCAAGTAGCGAAGTCAAAATTATGAATACCAACGAAACTTATTCGGATAGATGCGCTGTGTTTCGCTGTAAGTTGAATGGCTAGATAATAACTGGAGTGGATTTCTTTCGGTTTTGATTACTTTACTCCTATAAGCTTGGTTTTTATTTGTTCAACTGAATAATCGAGCTATTACAGTTTACTCATCTAAAGCGCTTTCATGTTTTATCTGTTCGTGAAAACTGTTTTGTTTATGAATAGTGATGAACAAACGTCATTTCGTCCATTCATACTAATTTAAAATTTGAGAAATCAAAGGACATGATCGTGTTGAAGTGTATATTCATTTATTTGAACACATAAACATTGGTACAAGGGAGCACCAAATAGATATGCACCACACAATAATAATGAGGTTATGAAGAGAGAGAATGGGGGGGGGCGAGTATAATAAAAAAGAAGAACAGCAGTGAATAGAAATTGGCATATGAGAGTGAAATAATAGTAATAATAATAATAATAATATTAATAATAATAATAATCGGAGAAACAGTTCAGTTCGGAAAAATACAACCAGAAAGAACTCTTCCAGCTAATGAGTTTACTCTCGCTTTTATAAAGAAACTTACGGCAATTTCGCTATTGGCTTCTATTCTGGGCCATGTCTGACAATATCTCAAGCCACTGTGTTACACCATCTCTAGTATCCCAACCAGGGAGTCGTGAAGGACCAGCAGAAGCCAGTCCTGTACAACTTTCTTTTATACTACGACATCATGTCATATACTGACCATCTCTCATGGCGTCGTTAAATAATGCACGACGTGGGATTCGCCGGGTCGATATTCGTAAGACGTGCCTAAGCCATCGAAGTCGGTGTTTCAAGATGGCGGTACAAATTGAAATATCGTCTTTGTACCCAAACACACGACGTCGAACCTTTGCATTACCAACGTGGTGTTGCCACTGGATGTCGACGAAGAGTCGTCTAACATCACCAGCTGGGAGGGACCAAGTCTTACAAATATAGGGTAGAACTGCTCTCACCGACGCGTTGTAGCTCCGACCGTTTACAGCCAGACATCACGGAGGCGTCAAATATGGTCTAGATCGGCACAACTCTCTCTGGCTTTCACTATACGTGAATTGATCTCATCAAACACACCATCACCAGCATATACGCAGCTACTGGATACACGAACTGCTCGACTACTTCTATCCACTCACTACCCAGAGTGAGTGCAGGTTCAGGGTTTTGCCAATATTGTTAAAGTACTATGCACTTGGATGGTGCGATGATGCCATACCTAAGGACACTGACTGCCAACTGGCTGAGTGCTGATTGTATGGCTTGGGTATCGTCGCACATTAAGAAAAAATCATTCACATACTCAAGATCAAAAGGCCTCCTGGTAACAGATCCACACCACCATAGCTTACATCTATAAGAGCTGTTTCCAAAACATCATTGTTGGCATATTTGAAGAGGAATTGCGAGATTGGACAACCCTACTGGCCCCCACTTCTTCAATTGGACAATGGACAGAGACGTTTGTATGCCCTCACTCTGCCTGAATTGTTATTATATAGGACTTTCAAAATGATAATAAACTACTCAGACATTCTTCTTCAATGTACAATTCCAGAGAATAGCCCGACCGTAGCTGCTACCTTGACGTGGTGGTCGGGTTTGCTTATCGTGATGACCCAACCGAGCTATATTGGCTGGAACACATGTTCCTGCAGGTTCTACCATGCCAGGCAGGTCGATTGGAGAACGGTAAGACTAAAAGCAGCAACTCAAGGTCTGAGGGCGAAGTCGTACTGCTGACTGTACAGAGGTGTGACAGCAGTAAGGTGTTTCCCTCGGACAACCAGCATAACAGCGATGCTGCCTTCTCACAAGGAAGGAAGGGGTTAGAAAAGGTCGACCCTAAAAATGTCACACCTCACCTTACCCCACGGATTTCCGTCTCCGGCGGTAAGGCTGTTTGAAGAACGGAGCTAACACATTAAAAACCTCCCACAAAAAGGCCGTGCGTGCGACCGGCCTCAAGCAGTTGTCCCTTGGGTTCTGTGGTCACACACCCAGGTCGCTAAGACCAACACTAATCCGATTTCCTTTTCAGGTTCCTCAAGAAATACCCTTCCACGGTGTGGGCAACCGGGAAGTGACATCAGCCCTCATAACCGTAACAGCACACGAGACCAAGTTGGTCACATTCAAATCCTTCCTACACCTCCTAATAACCCTCTTATCTCCACGACTAACCCTTCTCACGTCCCTTTACCACCTCTCCCCGCTAGTGCAAACGATTCGAGTACGCGGAACGTTATTCCTGGCCTCCTGAAACCACGCTCCAAACTACAAGTAGGAGCTTTCAACGTCCGAACACTGTGCCAAATAGGACAACAGGCTTCTTTAGCTAGGACTTTAGAATCTCGCTCCATCGATGTGTGCTGCGTCTCCGAAACGCGCACACAGGATCCCAGTAGTGTCATTCATTTGACCTCACCATGTCAAAGTAACGAACCAACTCGATTTATGCTTCGTGTATCTGGAAGCCCTGATGCTGCTTCCTGTGGCCTCGCTGCCGTAGGTATAGCATTGAGTCCTAGGGCAGAACTAGCTCTCTTAGACTGGGTCCCAGTAGACAGTCATTTGTGCGCTGTCCGACTAAACGGAACAGTAAGGACTCGAAAAGATAGGGACACTCGTCGTTGCCTCTTCGTCGTCTCTGCCTACTCTCCCACTGACTGCAGCTCAGATGTTGTAAAAGATGAGTTTTACAGAAAGCTTTCCGACCTTCTCCGAAAAGCTAGGCGTTCAGATGTAGTAATAGTGGCTGGTGACTTTAATGCTCAAGTAGGTAAACTAAGCGAAAGGGAAAGACACCTGGGTGGATCTTATGGTGTCGCGGCTCAAAGAACAGATAACGGTGACCGTCTGTTGCAGCTATGCTCAGATAACCGCCTGTTTCTTGCAAACACTAACTTTAAGCATAAGGAAAAACATCTTTTAACATGGCGACCCCCTAATTCGTCCCAACGCTGGACCCAAATAGATCACATCGCTATCAGCCACCGATGGAGGGGCTCGATAGAAGACTGTCGCTCATTCTGGAGCACATGCTTAGACTCAGATCATGCTCTAGTGCGAGTGCGTATTTGTCTACGTCTTACTGGACGTAGGAAAGATGGTACAAGGAAACCCCTTAGGGTCCTACCTAATGATAGTCAAGCTAAGAGTATATTTCAGGAACAACTAGAAAAACAGTTAGGCAGACATGTAAGTGATGCCCACTCCGAGGCAGCGTGGAATGACATCCGAAAAGCTGTAGAAACAGCAGTGATGTCTGCAAGTACGGTAAACCATAAGGTTAGAGAGAAACACTGGATCTCAGCAGCGTCTATCGCACTGACAGATGCTCGAAAACTCATGCCATGTGGCTCTGAACATAACGAAGAGCGGGGTCAGCTTAAGCGTAAGCTGACTAGAAGCCTACGCAAAGATCGTGAACAGTGGTGGGTAGCGAAAGTAAGAGAGATGGAAAAGGCAGTGGCAATAGGTAACAGCAGGCAACTATTCAGACTTGTTAAGGAAACCGGTATTAGGAACCCAACTGTTAGCGAAACAATCTCAGAGAAAGATGGACATATTATTCATTCTCAATCTAGGAGATTGGATCGATGGGCAGGACACTTCAGGGATCAGTTCAACTGGCCTTCAGCCACACTTCGGTTTCCCACGATCTCCAGTCGACCTGAATGGCAAGTTGATATAAGTCCTCCGACTCTTTACGAAGTTGAGAAAGCTATAGGAAATCTAAAGCGTGGGAGAGCAGCAGGCCCTGACAGGTTTACCCCTGAGATTTTTAAGGATGGCGGTCCAGTATTAGCAGCGAGATTGACTGAGGTCTTAGGTAGAATCTGGGAACTGGACGTAATCCCATCAGACTGGTCTCAATCACTGATTGTACCAGTCTATAAGAAACGACAAAAGTCCTCCTGTGACAATCACAGAGGAATTAGTTTGACTAATATAGTGTCTAAAATATTAGCTTCAATAATACTTCGATGTCTAACCAAAGCTCGTGAAGAGCAGACTAGAGAAAACCAGGCTGGTTTTCGACCTGGACGTGGTTGTATAGATCAAATATTCACACTACGTCAGATCCTAGAACATAGACACACATTCAGACGCTCCACAATGGTAGTATTTCTCGACCTTAAGGCGGCATTTGACTCTGTTGATCGTGAGGTTCTATGCTAGTGTTTGTCACTGAAAGGAGTACCAAAGAAGTACATTAACCTTATAAAGGCTCTCTACTCGAACACAACTGGTCGAGTGAGAGCTTATGGCGAACTGTCATCAGAATTCATTATCTCAAGTGGTGTTCGTCAGGGCTGTCCACTCTCTCCATTCTTGTTTAACTTTGTTGTTGACGTCCTTTTAGAGATGACACTTTCCTCATCTAAATTTCCAGGAGTTGAACTTCTACCGGGAGATTCACTTGTTGACTTAGAATATGCCGATGACATAGTTCTATTTAGTGAAGACGCTGACAGAATGAAGAGTCTGCTGACCACTCTAAGCAACAATGCAAGCATGTTCGGCATGCGATTTTCTCACTCAAAATGCAAAACGCTGCTTCAGGATTGGGTTGCGTCGACACCCGAACTAGTGATAGGGAGTGAAGTAGTTCAGCGTGTCGACCGCTTCACTTATCTCGGAAGTCTCACCAACCCTTGTGGTCTGGTGTGTGACGAAATCTCAGCACGGATACAGAACGCTCGACTAGCTTTTGCCAACTTGCGTCATTTGTGGCGTAGGCGAGATATCCGTCTATCGACCAAAGGACGTGTTTACTGCTCAGAAGTTCATTCCGTCCTACTCTATGACAGTGAAACATGGCCAGTAAGAGTAGAGGATATTCGTAGGTTACTAGTATTTGATCATAGGTGTCTTCGAAACATTGCTCGTATATCCTGGGACCACCGAGTAAGTAATGCATTTGTTAGGAAACGGGTACTAGGTAAGGATGGCAAATCAATTGATGAAGTAGTGAAACTTAATCAGTTGAGATGGCTGGGACATGTGCTACGCATGCCCGGCCACCGACCGCCCCGACGTGCGGTTTTTTCTGGTGTAGGAGTAGGTCAGAAGAAAGCTATGGGCGGCCAAAGTAAAACATGGCACAAATCCATGAAGTCTCTGACAAGTGGACAGAGCCATGTTGGTAGGTGTAGACTAATTGGTTGGGGACCGCGAGATGATAGCAACCGATGGTTAGAGACCTTGAATGACATGGCTCAAAATCGTTTGCAATGGCGCAGGTGCATCCACTCTTTGTGTTCTCCCAAACTCTAATCTTCTGAATTCTTCATGTCCTTTATTTTCTTTCCAAATCTATTCCACTGGACTATACTCCTTAAATAACATCATCAAACCCTAATGTTCCCGATTAATACTTATACTTTCACTACCTCTACCACTACGGGATTTGAATCGATAACTGAATCTCTGTGCTAACGTGGTATGGCAACTCGAACTGATGTACGTACGTACGACGTTCCACGTTGTTACTGACTAACTGACTGACTCCAGAGAATAGTATTGTCCAACAAATCGAAGGCGGCTCTGATATCAAGAATCACAATTATTGTCGACCTGCAATAAATATGACAGTGTTTTAGTGTTTGGCAGAGGGTGATGGTAACATCAATACATCCTTGACCAGAACGAAAACTAGTCCGCTCCTCGTGAGTCAACCTTTCCCGGGTTTTAAACAGTCTGCGAAGTATGACGGTAGCCAATAATTTGGACGCAATCGGAACTAGACCCTTTTTAAAGAGAGGAAAAGCTATCGTCTCATTACAGGACATTGAAAAACTAGTTGCCAAACCTTTACAAACAACCCAGGCCGTTTAATGACCAGGTCTTCACCATCCTTAAAAAGGATCGGAGACATGTCATGTGAGCTTGATGACTTGTATCGCACGTTCCGATCATCAGGTTTTCAGTCCTTATGCAAATTTTACACTATTTCATTACTTAACAGTTTTCGTTCATAGTCATACTCTCGGTCACTCGGAGTAGACCAACGTGCTTATATGAGTTGTAAGGAGCCTATAGAAACTCAGCGCTTGTAAGCGGGATGTTTCACGAAGCGGCAAACGACTTTAGTCTCCATTTTCGTGGCGTCAAGCGATTGCAGCCAATGCTCATCTATGCTTTCATCTAATCTACAATTTAAATTGACGTACATAGTGTGGCACCTACTAAATCCGATTTCTACCCATTTTTCGTCAATCCACATGTTTAATTCTTCACTTTTTTATTGATGATTTTCAGTTTTTATACAATTTATTCAGAAAAATGTAGCTGACACATCACCTCATCAACTAGATAGCTGTCTGAAGACTTTATTTCATCTACTAAACAATTGGAAGTTAGCTTTGCAAAAGGTAAGTTGTATATTGGTGTAACTTCACATCCGAAACCCTTTCTCTGAGCATGTCACTAGTAATCAGTTATTATTGGTGTTATTGATACTCTTTATAATTTCCATCACAAGCTGACCCTAATCTCCCTACTACATAGTTTACTTGACTGAAAAATAATTATGATCTCGCTGTATATTAAATTAAACGAAACAATTGTCCAAATTGATTTTTCGGTTTTCATCATAGAGCACCTGAGTGTGAATTTTTAAATTCATTGTTCCTTTTCGGAGACTTTCTACCCAATTGCTTCTGTTTGGTAGCTTACTCTTATATTATTCGTGACTTTAACTACTGAGAAACGTAAATCATTCGTAGTCACTAATAAAATCTCAAATTTCTGAAATTATTTATGGTCACTGAATTTTATTTTATTTTTGCATTTTAGGATGGAGCCGTAACACCTAATATGGCTGAAAAATCAGCTTTATATGAAGCTGAAGGATTTGCTTTGGTTATGTTGTGCAGTTGTCGTTTAATTACTAGACGATTATCTGTTCATATTCTCAGGAAATGTCGAGCTTTATCAAATTTAATCCAATCCGCTACTTATGATCAAACGTTAAAAAATCCAAATGATTCACGGGAATTGTGTTGTATAGATATTTTAGACCGTTCAGTGCCAATTATTTTGAAATATCTTTTGCCTATATTACCTTTAAGCGAAAGAGTAAGATCATAGTCTATTCGTTAATATTTTAAAAGTAAACTATTCTGCTTTAGAAAAGTTTCACATACTCTTCTTAATTGATTGTCAGTTGTCTGCTTGTAATTATTTTTGAATGTACAAAATTTACTTGTATAGTTTTTTGTGGTCGAAAAACTTACTACTAGTATTAGGATAGAATCTTATTTCTCTGCAGATATACTATAGTTTTTTGGGTATGATGTTTAATAAGTCAGAGAATTAATAAATTGTTGCAAGTTTATCAGCTGTAGTTGAAATTACTTGCAGTCTAGGTCTAAATTTTCCAAACAAGAAAACAACTGCAAAATCTGTGCTAAGCAATAGACAAAATAGACTAGCATTTACTTTCGAGTTCTCGGTATACTAGAAGATGACATATAAGGATGTCTGATAAGTATTTAGTAAATCACATTTCTCAAATTTATTAAAGGAACACTTAATGGTCACTGTATGTGCCCGATTAACTTTTGAAAAAGAGAATTTATATTAGTGGACAGCTGATTTGATCCATATTCATTGTAATGAGTTGTATCCTACTATTGGAGAGCTTATGTATATATAACACTAGTTATACTAATTTCTTGTTTGTTTTTATAAATTTCAGTCCGCTTTGTCTTCAGTGTCTAACATGGATTTTTCTGTCTTCACGGAGCGCTCTCATCCTGTTTGGTTTAGTGGTACTACACTGCCTGTGTATTCACCAGTGGTTTTACCAGCTAATTATTTGAATAACACTCAATACTCTGGTTTAATGTCTAACAATGACGTGCAACAAAGTGAAGAAGTTCGATTTAATGGCTTATCAAGTCTTCACGATCTTAACAAATTAAACAATCCTAATAATAATAACAACAACAATTGTAATACTAGTAATAGTCCAACTGTAGGGAATCCAGCGACCGGTAACACAAATGAGAAATCTAAATCCAATGAATCTGTTATACAGGAATCATTTACAAAAATCGGTAAGCACTGACTATTATTTTCAATCAAAGTTTGTTTCTGTTCGCTGATTTACTGCATTATAAACATAAATTGATTACCAGCTGGTTTTATAAGTATCCATAACAGATAAATATTGATTATTTTGTGTGTAATCTGAGTTTGATGTATTGCTATATATTTTCTCTTTAGGAACATCTAACAATAGATTGTTATTATCATTAGATAATCAAGTTGATACTCATCTCGTTTTGCTACTTAAGACTAAATGAATCCATAAATGACCTTCAATATTATCATGTATGCGAAACTGTTTATTGCCTTTGAACAAATAGTAGTACATTTCATGATGTCGGGGCTAATTTGTGAAGAAAACAGCATTTTAATGGTTTATCTAATTTGTTTAGATAAATTATTTGTATTTGTAATTAATTAGAAAGATGTCTATTTGTTTAGTCAATATTTTTAGAACTTTTTTAAAGTGCAAACTGTTGAATGGTGTTCTACTTTTGTGAATTGTTGTTGTGTTATTTTTGTGATGACTACTCTACCACTAGTAATCTAGTATCACTAATAGATATTTCATTCTTGCAACACTTTCGTTGCATCAGGATGTCGAATTTGTCCCAATCTTCATCTACCTCATTTATTAACCGGATTAACTGAAGGTTAGTCATTCTTTTTGGGTTTTGGTACCCATGGATTGCAATTTTGACCTTCACTGTAAAGTGAAAAGAAAGCGAAATTTATAACAATGATAGTGTTGTGTCTAACAGCTAACTTGAAGCTGTGTAACTCATCAACTGAAATACTTGATATATAAGCCGTTCTCACGTTTCTTGTTATTATTTTATTCGCTATGAATTGTGGTGAACATTTCAGATATGAGTTGTTATGCTTAACATCTCAGTAGATGTAAAGTATAGAGATGAGTGAGAGTTTGTAAAATATCTTGATAAGTTTCGCCAATTCAATAGTATTCATACTTTTCTATATTTACTTTTACGTGATCTTTTTCCTTGTTTGTTTCCATCTTGAACTGAAATTAGTACACAGGTTTTTATACTATTTTTCCACAACTTCATATTTTTTTCCGGCATCATTACAATGCCCTTTTTCACTGATGAATAATTTATGGTCCATAGGGTTTAAGTTTTACTGTTGTTAAATATATCAACAATAATTTTAACTCTACTAATTCTAAAACGTTGAAAAATGGTACATTGGCCTCACATGGTCATTATATATTTAAATATCATGTTCTTCGGCTAAGCAAGGGTATGTTAAGGTCAATTGAAAATTCTTATAATTGCTCATCTAATTGATACGTATATCAAGTGGACATAAATAAGGGCTTTCAAGTTATTCATAGAATCCCATTAAATTACCCGCCTGGTTTACGAACGCGTCTTGTAAGTATAGCTAAAGTAATCACCATCCACTTTAACAAGTCCGACTCATATGCCAATAAGAATTTTGTTAAATTTGGCTATCACAATAGCCAACATTATAGTATATTAATAATAAGTTATTACTTTCTCGTTTCCCACTATCTTTCGCAAAAATAATTTCCGTTCGCCTCCTGTTGTTGGATAACAAACAGTAACGTTTTTTAAGCTTACGTTACTGTTATTAATTTTTGCCTTCTTGTCATAAATTTGTCGATTCTCCTATATTATGCAGTTTGTTAATTCTATAACTACATATTCCAATTCATTCTTTTATTATTTAGGACGTCTAAGTATTAATCACTTCAAGCCATCTTTTAATCACTGTGCTCTTTTTGAATTCAAAATACGAAATTCAGCGAAGGAATCTATTTTCAGAAAATCTGTTATAGAGTAATACTTTTGAATTTGTAATATTATCTAACAGACCATCACTTGCTCGGTATTGATTTCATTGTTATTGTTAGACGTATATTTGAGTGTAGAACCAGTTGTATGCTTTTTTGATATTAGTATTGAAAAGTTTTCAGTGTTCAGATTCATATCAAGAGCGTGTTTTGGATTTAATTATTTTAAAAAGAACTCTGGTCTACTGAGGGAATTGTTTATCTATCATATAAAAGATGGTTTTCTGAAATTATTACATACACATGTACATAGTTGATAAATTATCACTCACTGCTTTTTGTATCTTTATGAAAAAAGCGATACATAGAAAATCAGGTAATATTTACTTTGTGTTTTAGTTGTTTTTATAATTCATGTTATGTGTGCATTGTAAATTGTTGTGTGGATATGCAGCTTTTTGGTGAGTTCGTTATTATCTAGACTTCATGTTATAGTAAGTGATTCGTGTTCATATAGCATCTGAGTGTCATGGTCCATTCGTCGTGGGAGTATACTAACATCGTTATAACCAAAAAGTTTTGGTATGAGATTATTTAATTTTCTTCAAGGAAAGATAATTTCAATCGGTTGTTTTATAATGCAATGTTTTATTTAGCGAACCATCTTCAAATCGTTAATTTTAGTCTGAACATCTTGTTACTCATTGGCTTAGTAACACTACTGAACTTTCAAAATACATTTTTATACTACAGTTATCAGCTACTAACTAAAATCCCTTAATTATCTATCGTTCTATTAACTTAGTATATACTACCTAGACAGCACTGGGTCCTAACGATTGTTTCTGGACTTACTGACACTATCACTGATTGCATGAAACATGTCATAGTTTTACCTTAATCGTAAAAATGATGTATATTGTATCTGAAGTGTTGGAAAATATATTTGTCTGTCTTGTTTATGTATGAAGTTTCCAATCCTTTTTTGGACCAATCAGCACTTTTGATTATATGTGTGGATTTTTGGTATAAACTTATACAAGTTTTATTTTCTTTCAAACAAAAAGAACTATAAGATTATCAAAGTTTTACTCAATCGAGCGAATTTCAAAATCTTATCTCTAAATCAAACTTCACTTTGAAATAATTCATCTAAATACCTTGATATCATATTTACATTTACATGAAAATAATTCTTTTAAAACAGTTTCTTTATTCGCATTATTTTATTTGAAAAGTGATTACAAAAATTGAAACAACATTTATAAGCGAACAATATTGTTTTCAGTTAGATCAATATTTATATGCATAGATATTAAAATTATCTAACCAATCAAGGCAGTCAATAACAAAAATGAGATAGACTGCGTAACTAAGCACAATAAGTAAAAAGTACGGATTGATGGTGGGATCACGGGTGTACTGAGATCGATAAGAATAACAAAAGCATGAGTAAATATTTCCAATTAGGAAGTTGAACAGAATGCTAAAAAAAAATAGACATTAGAATAATCACCGATGGAAATGTTTAAAGTTGTGCGATAAGTGATGTTCAAATGATTAGATAATGTAAAATATATGTGGAAAAGAGTGAAGAAAAAAAATGAACAAAGGATATAGAAAATGCTAATGACTGTTTTTAAACCTGATTCAGGCAAGAAAGCAACAATAGTGTTACAAATCGTTTCTGAATATATAGAATAGGGTTGTGTGCTCGAACCTCCATAGCTTTCTGATATAGGAGACGAGGCTGAGCGTATTTGAAGACGGCGATAGTATTCGGTAAATCACCCTAAATGCTTCGGTTTTACCTGTCACATAACCACTGTCAACCAAGTGTGTTAAAATGAAGCTAAGTATTGTTTTCATCTGGCTTTTTTTGGAACATACGGGGAGATGTACTCTTTCGTTGACGTACTAACTAACTTGGTTGGTTTTATATTTCTTAATATATGCATATAAATGTTACTGTATATTAGTATAGAGCTCATTGGGGGATCTCACTGAAAACAATGTATTTTTCATGATAAGAATTTTTAAAATTTTAGTGGGATTATATGTATCAGAGTGATTTTGACAGATCATCTGTCAATCTGTTCTCTTTGAAACCTCAGGGCTTTATCATCGAGCGATAGCATTTTTGTTTCCCTATTGTTCTAAATTTTATCGTGATTTGTTAAAGAAGCCTGAGATTTTTTCTAGCTGTTTAATTAGTTCATCACGTTATTTTCCATTTTTTAAATCATATTTAAATATGATAACATCTGACGGGTGTTTTATGTTGAATGTAACTAACAATTATTATTGTTTACCGATGGGCAAAAGGGTGTCTGATTTCTTGTTATATATCGGTTGTTTGACCAAATTAAGGTTAGCCCTACTTCTTTTGAGAGGTCTTTTTATCAGATTTTTTTGCACATGGTGAAAATAATTGTCTATTACATGGCAGTTAAGTGGTGAACCAAAAGCTAATTCATCTCTTGAGATATTTCAACACCAAAGTTTCATGTAGGCTTAAAAACTTTCCGTTGAATGCACATTTTTTGACTAGTTTGATACCAGATGGATTTTCTTCTGAATCAATCTTTTTGGGTGTGTTGTGTTGTATTCTATTATATATATATATATATATATATATATATATATATATATATATATATATATATATATATATATATATATATATATATATAAGGTATTTTGTGAATTCGATTTTTAAACGTTATGTTTACTGACTGAATGTTTTACATTCATTTTCATCATCTGAAATTGTTAAGCAGTATGATAATCCATGAAGCTTGAAGTTTATTTGATAGTGAGGATTTCACTTACATAGGAAATAAGCGATTATAGAAAAACAGTTCTCAACGCGGTCTGAACAAATCTTACTTCATCTTGTTTTCAGGCTACGCAAAATATTCTCACTCTGAACTTTATGAATCAAATAGGTTTCAAGTAACTTATGCTACTAAACGTTCTGGATTCTGGCGAGGTCATATAACACAGTTGCTTTCAATGACTAGGGGTACTAAACGAAACAAAATGTCCTTTTTCTCCAATTTTTCATAAAAAAATGCCTCCATCTTAAAAAATTCATTCTAACCAAATTGTGCTATGTGTGTAGAACTTATTAGACTAAATAAGTCATAAAAATTTGAGCGAGGTAAATTCAGTTGTTTTAGCTGTCAGTTACCTCCGAAAAATCGATATACTATTTTTCCCATTTTCAATGGAAACTTAATGGAAGAATGTTCGTAATTCAACTATGGTTGTACTCCTAATGATGTACATGATAATTTTATATAGTACTGTTAGCTGGACATGGATTGGATTAAAGCATGCTCAATGCACGATTGCTTTGGTGCACGCTGATTGGCTAATTCCTGCCCAATCAGCGCTAGTCGATACTTGGAGAATACTCTAGAAATATTCTTATGTAAAAACGATAAATATACTAACGTTTTTCCTATTGTGCTTCTTACTTCCATCTAACCTTGTTATTTGGAATATCATCTCTTTCCTGTTCAACTGTGTTCTGGTTTGGGGCCTTGTCGAGTGAATTAGTGTCCGAGAATACTAAGCAATAGGAATAGCTGGGTTATAACCGTAAGAGAGAATTATAACAAGTACATTTCAGATGACATTAGTATTCCTCTGCAAACTTTTGTGATTATTAAAACTGTTGAGATAAATTTTCACAGTTTAATTTGTTTAAGACCAATAATTTTAATTATATACTCGGATTTTCTTTCGCTTTATTTGACTACTCTAGTAAGACCGCAAGTTTCTGAACTATTCATACCTTCGAAATCTTTTGATTTTCGTAATATACAACCTTCTAAGTCGTATTTATCTACAACACCTGTTCTTCGAAGAGCATCTCAGTACAATCAACAAATTCAGCATACTCAACAAGCTTACATTATGCAGCCTGCACAAGAACGTGTAGCTGTCACAGATGTATGGGCTACTTGTCTTTCTATTGTATTCAACTCATCTAATCTGCCCACAAGTTGTCCCATGGCCGTCAAATCTGCTTGGTCAATATTATTTCAGCGAATAAGTACTATTTTTCCTTTAATTGACCCAAGGCAAGTCTCTTTACTTACTTTTTTTCATTTCCATTAAATCAAAGCTAGTCATTTGGTTCAGTCTATTTTCTTTTTATATTTCTGTTTTCGTTAAGGTTTATCTTTAGAAAAAGAGGAATAAAGTTGTTTCCGATATAACGTTACTCATCAGCAATTATTTGCTAACCGAAAACATTACCCCAGTACCATACGACATGGTGCTATTTTTAGAGTTATTCTTCTTCGGAATTTTTCTCTGTGTGTTTACATGTTATAAAGGTTTTGTCACTTCTTTATACTTTAATTGATATATATTCTACAGATATATATTTACTGAAAGCCCACTTATTGTATTTCACTTGTATCGTAGTCCAAAAATATTCGAACAGCTCTGTCTTCAGGCTTACATAAACGGTCGTTGTATTGTGAATCTATTATTATAAGAAACTTGCTGTCATGAAAGATTCTAATCTTATAGGTACTGATGCCGTTTTATTTTTTGATTTTAAAGATCATTTCTCGTGTAGACGGTAATTGTTCATAAATATTTTAGCGCACAAATGGCTGAAAATCGAGCATCCTCGTTACTTCGAACTGGAAGTAAAAAACCTGCGAATGAACGTGAACAGTTCATTCCTCTTTGGCATAATTATGTCGTTGTTGGATGTTGTATAGCTCCGAGCTCTACTGGTTTACGGATTTCAAAATCTCCAGATACGCGCTATCAGCCTGGGTTTCATTTACAAAAGCATTCACTTGACTTTTCAACAAAAGGGGATTCTAATGAGTAAGCTAATGTTTTTTTCTAATATATTGGTATTCCTTTTCAATAAATCGTATAAATGTTTTGTTAAGTGGGAAATAAACGTCATCCAGACTTGCTGATTCTAGGTATTCAAAGACTATTCCCTCATATGTTTCTACAACTTATTGTAAATAACTTGTTAATTTAAAAATGCAACAACTTATTATGTTTCGTTATCCTACATTGCATTAATACTTTTTGGTAATAACTGAATTCACTTAAGTACTAAAGTATTTTTATCTCACCCTTTGATTTTGGAAAAGCTCTTAAAAGCTAGTTGAATAGTCTTGTTTCGATGGATTCATCATTGTCATTATCATCACATACTTTTATGTGTTTCACTTAACTATCACACGTATCGTTCATTTTTCCTTCTATTCTTACTTCTTCCACTTCCACTTTTTTATTAGCTGTGCAGGAAGTTTCGTCTATAAACATTCACGTCAGTCTTCTAATTATTTGAAACAGGAAAATTCCCTATATCAGCTTCAAGCTTTTTCCTGCCTATCGTTTTATCAGGAAGTATCGAAAAAACTGCTTCTGAGTCCCCGTGACAATGTTTGGAAACGCTTCTTTTATAGAATATTCATAGCCTCATAGCTGTATCGGATTATCCATCTAACACTATATAGATGACCTTAGTATTGCTTACCTAGGGTTGTATAATATTTCGAAAGTATTTGTCTGTGATTGGATTTTCGCAACCTACTCATGCTATCCATCTTCATAGGATGTTTCACATTCACAAAGTTATATTTAGTTGACTATTTACTCAGTAAATAATCGTTTTGTTTTTTATTAAAGTATTCTGAACTGTATGTTATTACTTTCAGTTGTGACAATAATCGATCTCCTACTCAATCAGACGAAGTGGTAAATCAAACAATTGATTTGAATGCTAACTCATCGTCTAATCGTTCAACTGTATCTAATTCTCCATGCACTAATTGGTCTAATTCGCCAGATTTAAAGTATTCAACATCATTTGGAAAAGTGAACGCTAGAGATTTGGTCAAGTTGTTAGTACCTTTGCTTAGATGTGAACAACCGGAAATAAGAGATTCAGCTATTGGTGGTCTTGGTCGGATAAATCCGGCTGCTTTCAGGTAATTTTCACATCATTCATTAATAAATGATGTACAATGTGAGTTTGTTTATTATTTTTACTCCCTGAATTATGCTAATTGTTGAACCCCCAAATGCCCTGGTACGGCCGAGAGTGGGGAGAGTCCGCTCTCCCTCTCGAAATGCTCTCACATGGCCATGCGTATATAGCCTCTGCCAGGGAAGTCCTACTCACTACCTTCTCGTGGCGGGGGTGTTGTTTACAAAAATGAGAGGACGAAAAGCGAATTTCCGGCTTTGTAACCGGATCCCAAACCAATGGTTCACATGGGCTCCAGTATCCCGAAGGAACAAATGGCGTACGAACCAATCGTTGGTCACCGGCTACCATGGGACTGCATCTCCTTACTATGCTCCACTGCCTTGTGGGTCAGACGTTCAGGTCGAAGGCTCGGGGTGTGGCCCCCTAAGAAAACCACCTGCTTCGGTTTGGGCACCCGGGCAGTATCACAGCCCTCACACAAATCAATTGAGATTTGTGTGGCGCATATGTATTTGGTGCCTCCTTGTACCAATACCTATGTGTTAAAATAATAATAATAATAATATTAACCTACTGGATTGTTTGTTTATTATTGAATAAACTCAGTTCAGTTTTCATTAATGTTAATCTATAGGAATGAATTAAAATTAATTATCGATTTACTGCGTATTGACATATTCAAGGTTAACCTTAAAACATTGTTAGTTGGTTCTGTGAGTTCGTTTCATGACGAAACAGCAATATACCGAACGGATCTAACTGAAGTTTTGGCGAGAACAAAACTTGTTATCATAAGATTTATTCAATAATTGCATTGTATTAACTGACCATCAATTCTAAAATTTAAACCATCTTTTATCCTTCTTATCATGATTTTCTCTGAAGAAGCGGCTTACACTGAGTCACGAAACGTCAGGAAATTTAAAAAGTTAATTTTTTCTGCTCATCGGGATTTTACAATTATATTGTTTCTATGAGTTTTCTTTGTTGTGTTTACCAATGACTCTCATCGACTAATTATTCTGAATTATGTGTCAGTCACTTGCATATTTTATTGTGAAAATTAAGAAATACCATTTTTTCATTATCATTAGGATTGCTACATTTCTACATCGAATTTGCTATTCGGCAATAGTCTTAAGCTGTTTGGATTAATTGGTGCTTTTGTGTATTTTGAATAATTTATTGGTGCCAGTTGAATGAAAGATCAATCATCTTAATTTGGTTTCTTTTCTTAATTCAAGTAATCCATGTATTTAACTTATTTATTCATTGAGGTGTGTACGTTTTTTGGCTAAATTATTTTAGAGATGTCCTTGAAGACTTGCAACCGTTGCTAAAAGAATCTTTCGATCGAAAACAAGAGAATTTACGCCGTCGACGTCGACGTGATGGTTTACGATCTGCTTTAGTTAAAACTCTTTCTCTTATGGCACAGACTGGTGTATTTGCATATCCGTGAGTAATTCATCATCTAAACTTATACTATAATTTTATTTTCAATTTCGCAAATTTCCAGTGAAATAGTTGGATTAATGGCCTAATAACGATAACAGTAATGATAATAATAATGGTAAGTTTCATCACATTTTGACATTCCATCCGACCTCATTAATCACACATTCGAAACTAGATACCGTAATTTCGTGATCGATAAATGGCTAGTGGGATCGCTTCGTAATATTGGGTAACCATCAATTCTACTGACAACATTTTACACTTGAAACCTTGCGAATTTCATATCGAAGCTTATCACTTGATTGTCATTTATTCACTACTCAATGAATTAATTCCCATAAATTGAAAACAGTATTCAGTTTGGGTGAATCTTTCATTTACTTAATCGCAAAATTGATTATTATCAAGATATTATACTTTTCTGGCAGTCTTTTTAATATTCATTGACGTAGTTCCATGAATTCACTACTTTCATCTTTTTAAACGAACTGTTTGGAAAGATTCATCTCATATCAAAATGCTGTGATAAGCTTGGTCTTCTGAATGTTTGACATAGAATTGGAGAGTCTATTGATTTAAAATTGCTTATGGATTATTTTACTTTCGATAATTTATTGTTTTTTTGTTTCTGTGTAGCGAATCAAATATAGTCACACCTCAAGGGTCTTTAATTTGTCAACTTCTTGATTACATGGATGGAATGAGAGGTTATTTAGAATCAGTTTCAGACCAGTTATTAAGTCCAATCAATTATACGCATCAATCATCTGCATCGTTAAATCTCTTAGTTTCTGTACCATCTGGTTCTACTTCTCAACAAGTTACTGCAGTTGGGAGTACTTCAAGCAATCATCAAGTTGGTGGATCTATTAACACTAATTCTGTAATTGCTTCTTTATCTACTCCTACAACTACTGGACCTTCATTAACTAGTTATTCATCGGAATTTTATCTATTGGGTGAAATTCGCTTGCATTTTTGTATTTTTATTAAAGAGCTAATTCGACGTTTACCAAGTAAGCAGTTGTTTTATAAAGTAAAAAAAGCTTTCATTAATAAATATATAATTTATACAGTTATATTAGACTGCATGTTGAATATATGAAATTACTAGCCTAGCATTTCATTTTTACATCAACTTTCCTCAAAGCATGGATGAATAGCTTCATAAAAAAGCTGACTTTGAGTATACAGAAAACATCTGATGTAAAGTTATATTTATAAGAAATATATCAACAGTTTTGGTGAGGCTGTTCCAAAGTTTCTCTGTACAGTACGTTACAAGCTTCTTTATGAAGATAATGAAAACAGAAACTTTGAAAGATCGGTAAGGTCAGAAACGTTTGTACACTAAATGTTTCTTTAGTTATATTTGGATATTGATTTTTAAAAAAATGGTAACTGTGACTCACTTGATATAAAGTGTGTAGGTAAAAAAAAAGGAAATAATTCTCTAAATTAAAATGTAAAGTTGGTCTTTGAAATCATTAACTATTTGACGGAACGGTATCATTGGATGCAAACTGTCTGGTTAATTTCCGTTCAATAGCCACGATCATCAGTTTTAGACTTTGGTGATTTGATTCAGAATCGATAACATTAAGGTTGATACATTTGCTCTTTATCTCATTCTATATTTTGAGTCACAGTATTCCTTCCATACCTTCTGACTTTTTGAACCGTATTCTCTTTGTTTAATCTTGGTGTTTAGGATTCCTTCTGATTGTCAAATTTTTATTTTTCTAATATGAGGTTATTTTTCCTAACTGTTCTGTTCAGATGATCGTAGTAATCATATTTAAATATTTATTATTCATAGTTATTTCTTTAGTACTTATCATTCATATTTTTACTCCTTACTTCTTTCTATCATGTAGAACAGAATCGTACAACTTTATTGCCTCCAACGCTAAGGCATCAATTATTCATTTTGTTGTCTCATTGGAGTGCTCATTTTGATCATATCATGGGAACGTAGTAAGTTTGTTTCTGTTTCCCATTTATGCATTAATGAAATGCATTTTCTTTTTAATATGTCTATGCAATAGGGACAATCTATTGGATTGTCAGTTTAAACTCAGCTTCTTTGATTTAGACAACTCGGTAATATCTGTAACTTCCATTGCTGATATTTCACTCTCAACATAGTACATGGATCTGCAGTTGGTTATTAGATCAGGTTTTAAATAATTGTTTAACAAATATGTGAATAAGCACCCTTTCCACTTATTGACATGCATTTGAAAAAGAAATTCTTCGGAGGATTAACAGATTTTTTGGTTAAAATATACAATTCTTTTCTATTGTCTTGACTACAACTAAATGTACACTATGTTAGTCCTAGGAACTAACATTTTAAAATAATCTTTTTGGCAAAATTTTTTTAAACACCAGTAAAATATTTTGTAATGCCACGTTATATCGGATTGCGAGTCAAGACTTGAGTTCTAACAATTGAAATCTTACGGTCGTATAGATATCTAGTCACCTATCTCTTCATTTGTACTTCCAGACACGTTTTCAGTCCAGCTACTCATATCAACTTATTTTTCAGTCTACTGAGGCAGTTTAATAAATCTTTAAAAGATTTTATGCTATGAGTAGATTTTCTTTTGAATGTTATCTGAAAGTTGATGTAAGTGATTCATAGTGCTGTATTACTGAGCAATATATGTATGTAAACATTGCCAGTTACTGTTTTATTTTTTAAACTATAGTATCATCTAGAGTATCCTTTGTAATATGAACGATTTTCTCAGTGTATTTGAAAAGTTTTTGCAGATAGATTTTACGATAATTTTGAACTTACATAGATCTATAGACAGGATTCTTTTTGCTGCTTGTTTTAAATGATGGAAAATATAAGTTGTTCATTTCGAATATTTTATAGGAGTATCACTACATAACCTCAGTAATCTAAGTGCGATTATTTATTAAAATTATAGGTTTCTCTCTGAATCTTTCTCAATCATAAATAGTATAACAGAAAATTTATCAGCGCTTATAAAATCCTTATTAGTAAATTCGTCAAAGATTTTCGGAGAATCACAGTTGTCGCCATATTCATGTGTGAAAACTGTCACTTATTTTAGCGTTTCTACTTCAACAACTTACCTATTATTCAGTGAACTAATGAGGGTTATAAGTCATATATTTTTAATTCTACATCAAAGCTCACAGCTAAGTTTCTTGATTTTGACTGGTTCGGACCTATACTATGCTTTCATCGATAATCACTCAGTTGTTCTCCCAACAGCCATAGGTCTGAATCATCATTTTCCAAGATAAATTTCATTAGACTTCTTTAGAATCATCATGACGTTCATGTTATTAGGAGTATTTAATTTTCATTTATTCAAAATAGTTAGTCCCTTTGTAAAATCTGGATAATGAAATGAGAAGTTTACCAGAACTACGTGATATATTAGCGTTACATATTTCGAACAATTTAATCGCATATTTACTTGTAAAGGGATTTATGTATCATCTTTATTTTTTCGTATATAAATGCTTTACCAGGTTAATGTGTAATCAGATTCTAAGAGACTTTATCTTTTTATATTATCATATATTTGTCCCAACAGTTTTCGGAATAAATATTTTGATGTTCAGATTTCAATTTAATATATACCTATTTACAAAATGTCTGCTTATTTTTAGCTTAGGGTCTGAAGGCCCAGTGCTTACTGAATCTTATTCTTTTGATTCGAATGAGAGTATGGTCGGACAATCGTCTAGTCTAAATGGGATAGTTGGTTTTTCTCCATCAAATGAAATGCCTCACGGGATTATCGGGATTCACCATCAGTTATCTAATGATAATTTCCTACAACCTCTCAATAGCCTGGGTGTTAACAGTGCTCCATCTTCTGGTTCTGTAGAATGTAATGCTAATATGAGTGTTTCATCAACCCAAACTACCCAGAGTCCTACAATTCAACAGAAAACATGTGAAAGCGAACAAATTGATATGAGTGAATCTGTGGAATATTGTTTATGGATTGATTTAATTTGGTTATCAAATCAAGCTATGGCAGCTTTGGTATGTTGTGGGCCAATATTTGACCGTTCTGCCTTGCTACCGCAAGACAGTGGAAAATTAAACCAGATAATCCTAGGTGTGGGTTCGGACGCATCATCTGTTTCTGGTCCAGAACGTTTGAATAGTGGTTCAGCTTCGAATGTTCGCACTCCTAGTTCTGGATATGTGCTTCGTTGGATCTCTGGACTTCTCGTTGCACGTGATACTGCTCTCAGTTCAAGTCCGTGGCTGTGGTTTTGTCCCATTACAGGACGCGGTCTTTTGCATAGTACTTTAACTCCTGGAGGCGCATCATTGTGTGGCAATAGTCATACACGTTCTCGCATAATAGCAGCTGGTGGTGGTCGTCGATTAGATTCTGTATGTTGTATTCTTTGATACTGTCAATCAGACTTTTTCGTATAGATTTTCTTACATAGGCTGAGAATGAGGGATTCCTTTTACACATATGTGTGGGACGTTTCTAACACGAAACTATTCGAATCTATTTGAAATAGTATTCTCCATAGCTCCTTACGGGTCACTAGCTTTGAGAGTTAATCACTGAAGTCTGGTGAAAAGTCGCAACTATTGGAGTTCAGTCTTGTTTGGTGTAAGTTGCATATCACCAGTGACAATAGTTAATGGTTGTACAATATCACGAATAGCTTGGATATAAAAACGTAAATCTTTGTACGCCAAATTAATCGGCTGAAGATTAAGTCCTGATTAAGAAAGATTGCGTTCGATTCCTGGTGGGGCTGTGGGTACACACTGGTAGGGGTCGTATACTAGGACGAGGCAACTATTAATTACTTCGTGGTTTTAAATGACTTTATGACTAAAGTCATTCTGTGTTTTAAAACTAAGGTATGCAACAATCTCCATCATTCCCTTCATGAGGCTTGTTTAGTTTAGTTAAGGTGGATTATAAAACATATTCATATTAGAATTCAAAACTGGAATTTACGATGGTTACTTCTAGGCGACCTGAAAATTGATCTTTCTACTTATTAGGATCTCACTTCACGTAAATTATTTCGTCCCATAAGTAGGGTAATATTAGCATGAGGTAGTTTGTTTCTGTAGTCATATATTTTTTTTTCTATTCAAATTAGCTCTAAAATTAATTTATTAAAGGAACTTTGATTAATATTTGGGTTAAAATTAATTAAGATACATGTTGGGTCTGTCAAATTCGTAATTTTCTTAGTCGGAAACTAGATGGCAGTAGGTACTTTTGCACTGAATACCTTTGATTTTCCATATTTTGTTTCAGCTCCTTCGACAACTAGGTGAAGAAACTTTAGTCCTTATGTTAGATTTCAATTCTGACAATACCGGTCTGTTCAACTGGGTAATTGATCAGTGTTATACTTCATCAAATATATCATTGTCCACAGCATGTTTTGAATGCATTTGCCTCATAATGAGTAATATGTAAGTTAATATTCTTATTTATCTATTTAATTGATCATATTATGTGATATATATATGCATGTAATGCAGAAGTGATAATTATTTAATACTCAGTAGTAATGTGCCTCGTTCACTGGTCAATTTTCAATCCTAATATGTCTTTTTTTAGGATAAAAGTGTATTTCCATCAAATATCAATAGGCTAGATAGCTCAGTTCTATATCTTTGTAGTTTGTTTTTTATGAATAGACGTGGTCACTTAGTTACCTACGGATGCGTGTTACCCCTCGTAGAGGAGCATAGACTACCTACCAGAATTCTACATCGAACTCTGTCCATGACAATCATTTTAAGTTGTTTCCAGTTGCTATTCATCCTTTTGTTATCTGCTTCCAATCCACTACACCGCATGTTCTTTGGTCTTCCTCTTTTCTGTTTCCCTTCAGGATTCCAATTTATCACTTGCCTCGTGATGATTTACGCAATGTATGTCCTATCCTCCTCCAGCGTCTTTTAATTTCCTCTTCAGTTGGAAGCTTTTTTTTCTCTTCCACAGTAGGTTGTTGCTGATGGTATCCGGCCGATAGTCAATAAATATCCCACGTAACTAAATACTTTTACTTTTTCGATGATTATTGTGGTAGTTCTCCACATTTCAGCTCCTTGCAGTAGGACTGTCTTGACATCCGTATTGAAGATCCTGGTTTTGTTGTTGGCTTGCAGACAGTTGTTTTGAGTTCCGTATGTTCTTCAACTATAGGAGTGCTGCCCTTGCTTTGCCAATCTTTGTCTTTACATTCGCATCCGATCCTCTTTGTTCATCGATGATGCTACCCAGGTACGTGAAAGATTCCAAAGTTTCTCCATCAAGTGTGATTGAGTTGGTGTTCTATGTGTTGTATTTGAGGATCTTGATTTTTCCTTGTATGTTGAGGCCTACAGATGCAGAGGCTTCTGCCACACTGGTTTTCCGCATCAACACAATCTGTCCTGAGTCGAATATTTTCTTTCCACCTTGAGCACAATGAGTTTCATTTATTCCGTAAACCGCCAAGTTGTATCTTCTCATTTCCGTAGCTGTTTGACTCGTCCTCCTGGTCTCCCACATTATCCGGACAATCTATGTACCTATATTAATTGTTGCTCTGGTTGTTAGAAAGGATATCGGCCTCATGACTTCTGAATAATCTCGGTTTTCACGATGAGATGTCATAATTCTTCTAAATGAAGATCCTTCAACTACCAGGGTAGAGTTTAAGTTGTTAAAAATGTTTAGTCTGGTTAGCGTTTCTTAGCAAGGATGTTTTCTACGAGATAGGGTTACTGATCCAAACCCTCTTCTTTTATTCGGGCTTGGGACCGGCGGCAACCCTAGAAGAGCTACAGGTGGAGTTAGTCGTGATCACTAGGATATCTTTTGAATTGTAGATGCTTTGAATTATTATTCTCAACTTATTGTTGGTTTTTCATTCATTATTTAATGCTTTTATTTTCAGTTGTCACTTTTTTTCGTAAATATTCTCTTTTTTTCCACAAAGGCCGAATTTCGCTTGTGATTTTATTGCTATGATCACTTTGTGCTTCGTTTTTATTGATCATCCTTCAAGATTTCTATCTGACAGAGCTTTCTATTTACTGCGAATTCTTTACCAGCGTTTTATCATAGAAGTATGTCAACTTTAATTCTGCTTTACATCAGTTATTTATTCACCATAATTTTATTCTTAAATAGACTTATGAATTCAGATTAATCCTCGATTGACCTTCTCGATTTTAAAAATAAGGTATTTCAGGTAGTCAGAATTATATTTCATATGAAAAAATAAGTAAATAAAAGTTAGATTTACAGAACAAAATGAATTCATCATATTTCACGGCTTTCTATCATCTCGAAACACCTCTAAGTTAAAAGTAATGGTATTATTATAATTTCGTGTACCTTACTGAATAAAATTGAGTTCGAAACAAGAGAAAAGCTTGAAAAACATGAAGAGTATAAAATATGTGTAGCAAAACCTTCAAGAACGATTAATAATTATATGTGGAGAATGAGGTCATATAAAGACTGTTTTAGTTTCTATCATCTTATCAGCAAATATAGTTGAGTGAAAACACTATGTAACAGAACTAAAAGCTTATGTTCAATTATAAAAGAGTAGGAAGTGATGGCACATTTCGAAAAGTGTCTTATGAAAAATCGATATCCAAATAAATTTACTATGTAGTACGGAGAAATGTTTATCAAGACATAACACATTATATTCTCAATCATCTCTGTGTGTATTCTTTAATGTTTAATAGCCTGGCGAAATTTTATTTAAACAAGCACATCCAACGGAAATTGATAAATCATTTGTTCTCAACGAAGCAACTAATTCTCAATCATCCCCAACTGTGTGCGTACCAGAGGATTGTGACTGTTCTCAGTTGTATAAATACCTGCAAATAAATAAACTATTTTATAATTCTTTTTACCGTTGGTCTCCTTGTGAAGTTGTAAGACAGTTTTCCGCCCAACATCCTGTATTTACGATCACTATTTTTTCGGGTTAGTATTATGTTTTTTAATTTTATATTTGCTGTATAAATTTTACACAAACCAACAATTTTCGTATGTAAATTCATTCTAGCTCTAAACCTTGGAGTCTTGTACAGTTTTCACGGTGCAGACTAGTATTTGTAGTAGATTTCACCAACACTAAGGCGATCAGATCTCTAAAGTATTGAAGTTATCGGATTATTAAAAAGGCCCACCTTCCATATGTAAATCGTACTGAAAGATTATATATATATATATCATCGATGATACTGTCGAGGTTCATGAAAGATTCCACCTCATCCTCAGTTTCTCCATTACGTGCGATTGATTTGGTGTTCTCTGTGTTGTATTTGAGGTTCTTGGTTTTTCCTTTGTGTATGTTGCTTATTTCATATACAACCCTCCTTTATTCGGGCTTAAGACCGGCACTGTCTCTAGAAAGGCTTTAGGCTGAGTTATAGATTTATTTTATAATTACACTTATATGATTACTTTTTGTGTATTATTGAAAGTTTGTTTTCTTGATCTTATTTGAATTGTAGAGATTTCTAAACGTCTTGAAAACGCTAGAGAGGGTTTACGCATCCCATTATTACGTCTACTTTCAATTTGGCTTGTCAATGTGGAACTTGTAGATCTTTTGGAATGTGATTTATTCGATACGACAAATCGTAATATGGATAAAGATGATGATGATTTTTCCGATATAGATAAGGATAATTATGTCTGTCGGTCAAATAACTATGAAAAATCTAGCAATTTGCCTGAGCCTTTTGGAATTCCTACATTTAAAGTTTATAATACCACCAGTTTAGTTGAGACATCAGAGCAGCAGCAACGAAAAGATTGTCCTGAACATCGTACTCGTCCATCAAAACGATACAAACGTTCAAAAAGCCTATTAAATTCGGAATTACTTTGTGATCATGAGGATTCTGACGCTGATTCAGATAATATTATTGATGATCGAAATTTCAAATCACTAACACTGTTGAGAATGCGTGCACGTCAAACTATGCTAGCTGAACATGCGGACATTTGTAGTCCTCGAGCATGCCATTTTCATAATCATTTCAAGAAGAATGGATGCAAGTATAACGATAATAATAATAATAATAATAATAATAATAATAATAATAATAGTGATATACATTGGTCAACTGTACCTCCTACTCTTCGTTCTAGAGGATGGGGATCGAAAAAAGTTAGTTGAACTATTCATAATGTTGACGTAATATAGAATTTGGATCGGTTTTTATCTGAATTTATTTCTGAGTATTTAGCGTTAACATGATTAGTTAGGTTACATTTAATCAGGTGACACTTCTTTTCAAATGAATTCTTTCACCTGACTGCTCACTTATTGGAGTTTACATGCCAATAGCTCTTCTCATTATTCCTCTTATTATGTTTTCTGCAACAACTAGGAAATTACGTATGGTAGTTCTGTCAGAAGTGTACCTTTTACAGTGATAGCAGCTTACTACTTATAAGTAGCAGTTAGCTCTCTACTGTTATTTAACTCATACCCTTACATATCACCTTGTAAAAAATTTCACAAGGAATTGTGTCCGCAATGTTACATATATCAACTGATTTGCTGCTTTTTCTTTGGAAACGGAAAAACTGTAAAAGAGAAAATATTTCATAAATTTATTGATTGTAGGAAATCAACTGTTCATCTTTACTGCTATACAATTCATTAAAACAGTTCACACCGTGTCGTTACACAACCTATCAAATGGAACTGCTGGTACTATTCCAAAACATTTGTGTTGCAATGCCAAAAAAACGTTTTCTTACATAACGGTAATAGTTATGCAACGCTTTTTATTGTTACTAAAGGAACAACACTATTTTCGGTTTTATTTTATTTTCAGGCCACCGAATTCGTGCTTACAAATCTTTTCTACTTATCCTTAAGGCTTGCTGATTGTCCAACTTCATCCGAGGTACTAAAACAACTTTGGTTGACGTTAATTCGCTACCGATCAACGAATTTACGTGTGATTCTTCGATATCTTATTATTATTACTTCTATTGCACCTGGCACTCTGTTAGTACATGTAAGTTTCTTAACTTTTACTGTTTGCTTCCACATAACGGAACCACTGAGTGTGTAATTCTGGGGTGAAAGTAGATATGACTAAACAGCTGATAACTCATTAGTAACTGGGTTGATCAGGGCACGTTTTACCCCTACTTCGACACCCCATAGTAGATAATAAACAGGAGTAAGGGGGAAAGTTACGGCCTATGAGATCAAAATATGAAATTAGTTTACAAGATCGTTATGTCAAGAAGTACAGAGATTCTCACTGAGGTTCGAGGTAATCATTGTTGGGGACCTCTAGTGATATAACTGCAAATCAGTTTCAGTAAGATAAATGTATGCACTGTATTTAGTATCCCTATGAATTATCACCTAACCGCTTTGTTATTTTTCATTCATCGATTAATTTAGAACTGTCTCCTACTTTTAGTTTACGAATGATATTGCGATATAGCAATAGCTCTTAGCTTACATTCGATGTTTAGATACCTCAATTCCTCATTTTCTAATAGCTCTTGGCTACTCTAAAAGACAAAATTTTCAAGGAAGGCTTATTTGGTAGGGACCAAAGAAGATGAAATTAAGCAGCGAGCATGCGCGTATGATTGTAAACACATTAATTTTGGGAGCAAGGCAAAAATCGGTTCACTAAAATTGTCACAGACCAATAAGTAAATGCTTCCAAGTACAAAGGCTCGCGACATAATCAACAAGTAAGCGGTTTGCTTGTGGATTCGATATCGCCAATGTAGTAAAGTTTTCTTGATATTGCTGACGTGACGTGTGGTAATCAGGGTGATAAGTCTTGCTAATTAAATGCTCCATCCGATTCCCTAGCCGCTTCTAATAACCCCTGACTAAATCTACGCGGCAACGTAGGCACAAGAGAAAAGGCAGGGAGTGCAAAAAACACTACTCAAAGATTAGTTTATGCACAAAAAAACGAGGGCACTCATAATATTGGAGACGATTTTGGACTTCTGGTAGTTTCTGGAACCGTACTAAATATAGTAGCAACATAGGTAAATCCAATCAGAAATGTGACACTTGATTTCACTTTCAGGTATTCTGCGAAGCTTCTATTCATAGCTGTTTGGATGAAATGTTTCTCAGCGTTTTCTGAACTCCTTCTGACGTTTCCGAGGAACACTCTGGAGTTCTCCAACATATGGCTGGAACACATCTTTGTCATTTTCTACGTTGCTGATGGCTAAATGAAATCAAATTGATAGCTAACTTATTCATGCACCTTACACCACTTCTTAAAAATGTGAAATGAAAGAAAGTTAATATCTGAATAAAGCGAAATAAAGTAAATTAGCTATGAAAAATAAGTAAAACATTATGTAGTTCAGTATAGTTAATGATAATTAGCTCTCTTCAGAACCAAAACACGTATATCAGTTTCAGTTTTACAGAGTTTACATTTCTGTTCAGGGACTTGACTATTTCACATGAAATCTCTCCAAATTCCTATCAAATATTCTCATCATGTATAAGCAGCATTTGGCTGACATCAAATGTTGACCGAACATCGAAGTACTTCGATATATGACATTTTTAGAAATCTAGTATTATAGTAATGTGTTAATACAGAAAACTATTGTGAACAATAGTTTTAGTGAGTATATATTTCCTGCTTTTGGATCGATTTCAGGTTAAACGTCTCCTTACGTATCTGGCTTCTGAGCAAGCTGAGCGTGTCATAGGAGAACTAATGGTCGAAATGCAGGTTAGTCTTTATTGAGCTGTTTGGTTTATCCATACTTTATGTAAATTAACATCTATTATCGAAACAAAATATAGCTATATATCTGGTAACCTGATCACAAAATAATTGTTAGTTTAGTTGACACTATATATATATATATGTTTTCATACAATTACAAATTTAACTTCGTATTTTATACATATAAGTTTTTTTTTACTTTCAGACTATTGATGGTATTGGTCTAGTTGTTGAACCCATATCTAGTTTGCCATTCTTTCGAGCTAGTACTTCTACTCAACATCAACATCATCGTCGATCTATTGAAAAGTTAAAATCTCACAAATATCAGTCATGCGTTCCAAATGACTCATCATCGAAGACTGCGAGCAATTCTAGTCAGAGAGTTAATGATCGTTTACTAGTTAACCAAGAAGGAATCGGACAACCAGATGATGAATTAGTTGCACTTGGTTTAGATAGTAAACCTTGTTCTAACACAACGGTGCAAGTACGAACGTTACATAGTGCTATTGGAGGAAGTTATGACTATCGCAATATCGATTTTAATTTGAATGTGAAGTAAGTTTTGTTTCTGTCTTATCTACCCATACTTTCACCATTATAGGGTTATACACAATGAGAAGTCGAAGTTTTTGCTCAAAGAACCTAACTAGCTCTATAAATTGGTCAAATTAGTTAATGAAATCAGGGACCAGAGTATTCACTTAACAAATGCTTGTATTGGTCACCTTAAAAAAGTGTATGCATTGTATCCGTTCAGGTGTTTATATTTTTATACATTATATTTAAACCGTTGTTTTTTTAATACTGTGTTGTCTTGTTTAAAGGTGTATATTTTTAAAATAATGTTTTATGCTGTTTTTCTTTTCTGAAACAGGTCTCCTTTAAATACAACAGTACGTCCAAAATCAGCTACATGTCAACCATCTACTGTCACTATATCTAGTAATAGACCAAATCAACAAACTACCTTAAATGAAAGTAGAATACAGTTTACAACAATATCATCCACTTCAAAAGATAATAACAACAGTCACAGCTCTTCTGAATCACCACAATTAGAGAAATCCTGTGAATCAGCAGCAGCTTTATCTAACTACCAGCTAGTTGAAGGAAGTGATGGAGAGCCAGAAATAGATCTTGATTCATTTGAAGGTAAGTAAATGTTATACTCAAACAAACTTAATCATTTATGCGATTGCTACTGTTTATCAAGTTAACCCCTTATACTGAAGGAATTGAGTGATAGCTCGGTAATGGAATTACTGTACTCCACCTCGCCTGCACTTTTATTTGGGTATCCGTATAGTATCACTGATCCTCACTCATGAAATATTTGAAGCTGAATGCTAAATCAGATTGTTCTCCTACTTAGTTCTCCAAACATTGAGCCCTAACCTTTTACAAAATATTTTGTTTCCTTGAATAAACTGATCCATCCAATTATTGCTTGATATGTGCCGATGATTGTCACTTACACTATAAAAAAATATATCTTCTTGGAAAACCTAAAAAAAGTGTATTTTTATTGATCGTTTCGTCCACATCGAAACGTGGCTGTTAATTTTAATGGATAACTACTTGATCCCGATATAGGAAGTAATTTCCTACAAATTCAATTCTAAACTATTCTCTAGGCTGTCGTGCACGGTCTTAGCTTAACCAAAGTCTGAACAATTAAGCTATTTGGCTTGATAAACTTAATCTGTTTCTAAAACGTAAATTAACACTACACAAAACAATATCGTTCATGCTAAACATAAAATTATGATTATTATTACATGTGAGTTTGTGGAGATTGTAGTTATTTTAATAGTTAAATTCATGAGTCAGTGTAAGCTAGACCACCATTGAAAACCTGGAAGCACCGGACATCCGTTTCGTCCTAGCGTGGAACTCCTCAGCGGTGCGCATCCACAACCCCACGTGCGGGGCTCGGACCCATGATTGGTCAATAAGCAAAGCATAGTCATGCAAGGTCAAAGAAAGTTAATATGGTGTCGGGCGTCTCCTGTTGTCATTGATGGATTCGTTTATCGATCACACTTTACACCCAACTATACAACGGTTTTACAAATATTTGTCTTCAATTCTATATTTTGATTCCATCAGAAATCTGTGGAAGGAGGCAGTGAACTGTTTTTCCGAACGGTTTCTTCTGTTTTTTGTGAGATGGTAAAATCGCCCGAAGCAGCTGTTATTAATAGTGAATAATCTAACTGTTGTTACACATAACTACGTCCAACCGTATAACATCACCTAGCGTCAAATCTACTGTCTTTTTCAAAATCATGTCTCCATCCATATTGCTTCTCATTGTAGGACCTTAAAAACATTGTTTAGATTAAGTGTTTTTGATCTGTATACTAATGCCCCCAAATGCCCTGGTACAGCCCCCAAATGCCCTGGTACGGCCGAGAGTGGGGAGAGTCCGCTCTCCCTCTCGAAATGCTCTCACATGGCCATGCGTATATAGCCTCTGCCAGGGAAGTCCTACTCACTGCCTTCTCGTGGCGGGGGTGTTGTTTACGAAAATGAGAGGACGAAAAGTGAATGTGCTGCGCTATAACCGGATCCCAAATCAATGGTGCACATGGGCTCCAGTATCCCGAAGGAACAAATGGCGTATGAACCAATCGTTGGTCACCGGCTACCATGGGACTGCATCTCCTCACGATGCTCCACTGCCTTGTGGGTCAGACGTTCAGGTCGAAGGCTCGGGGTGTGGCCCCCTAAGAAAACCACCTGCTTCGGTTTGGGCACCCGGGCAGTATCACAGCCCTCACACAAATCAATTGAGATTCGTGTGGCGCATATGTATTTGGTGCCTCCCTGTACCTATACTTATGTGTTAAAATAAATAAATAAAAATATACGCCACTAGGTCACACTGCCAATCACAGACAGGAGTTGTTGAGTTTGAGGACAATCAAATTATTCTGTTTTTGTTTGTTCATTCAGTTTCTTCCTTATTCCCATTTTTAACGTTTAACCATAGTGGATGAACATTCATAAGGTTTTTGAACTATATTTTATGTTTTTGAGAAACTTGACTTTCTCAAACTTCGTTTCCTAGGTTTCACTAAGTGTGGATCAAATTTGGATGATAAATATGCTACTCTGCGCGCTAAAGATATTGCAAATTTACTAACACTACCTAACCCAAAAGACTTCCAATCAAGTGACTCTGATTCTAATTGTGATATACCAAATCTATATAGGCGCGGCACAACATTTCCCATTATTTCTGACGCCTACGAACAATCTGTTTTTTCATCTGTACTATCTAATCCACTGAATGAAACCAACTGTATATCAACCACTGGCAGAATTTCAAGACAGCCGAAATATTTCAGAGAATACAAAGAAAAACGATCTAGATGGTCTAACAATTCGAAAGTTGATGCTGTTGGATCATTGAGATTAGACCCTTTTCACCATTCAGCTTCATTGCCACCCAGTCTTGCTGCCCTCCCTCCACTACCTTTACCACTTCCTGCCAGCATTTCTTCCATTGTAAGTCTTTCTTCAAGAGGATCTACAGGATCTAACACATGTATATTGTCGATATCTCCTGTCACCGTTGATAGAAAAAGCACTACCAGTTCTGATAAATTGGATCTTAAGCCTTGTGTACGAAGAAGTTCGAACGTGGAAGTAAGTCATTCAAGCAACAGATCATACCTTGACTACAACTGTAAACCACTCCCTATGCCTGCAAATGGAGGCTATCACGCCCCTCTTGGTTTATGGTTGTCTGAACCTTTGGTAATTGGTGGGTCAGTTGTTTTCAGTGGTAGTTGGCCTCCTGCAGGACCTAGAGCACCTTTAGTTCTAATACTGGCCGGCGGTTTAACTCAGTCAAGAGATATTCATGTAGATTGGAGTGAACATCTACCTTTAATGCTTCTTGGTGTATTTCTTGGTAGGTTACTTCCTTTTTTTTCTCTTATATAACCTTTTTTTTCCACGATCGCATCTACTCAGAAAATAGCTATCTCCTTCGTTGCCTACATATAGTAATAAAGTTTTTAAAAGCCTCATTTCGATATATATGTCTAACGCATGCATTTCAAACGTACTTCTAGCTCTTATATTTTAATTCTGAGTAGTAAATGATAATCGTTGAATTGTTATTCAGTTTTCACACTGGAATGTTCAGACATGGTTATAAAATTAATATAGAAAAACATCCATACATTTCTATGAAATTACTTTCTCAATATTTTTTTCTCAAGTTTTCATTAATTTTGTTATTGTGTCAGTGATAATAGTCGTGTTTTAAAATGTTTCTAGGCGCCTAACATATCCATATAAATTTCACTAGCCTAAAACTGTCATAGCTCCATAGGTTTATTTTTTTAACTCGTTGGTTTACGTATTTGATCGTAAACCCATAAATTAGCGTTCAGATAACTAGATGTTGTATTTTGATCCCATAATCAGCGTTTTTATTATTCATATACCTATTCTTTTGCTTAATTAAATTATTAATTTAGTTTATCATTGTGTTGTCATAGTGTTCAACCTTATTGAATAGGATTCGTCATCAGTAATTTATGACTAGATACATTCCTACAAAAATTTGTACAATTTACTGTTTTACTTTTCACTTAAATCCATAGGTATTGACCACTGTCGTGCACTTGTACAAGAAGAATCTAAACATTTGCTAGTATCTTTGTTAGATCAAGTGTGTCCATACCATGATATTCTCCGCTTGTTACGACTTGAATTAGAAGCCAATCTTCATCGTCTTGCTTATCCCTCTGGTTTTCCTGGTCCTCGTGTTCAAGACTATCGTTTAACGTTAGACGGTGGGCCATATCGTGTGAGTTTGGCTAAACTGACGTTCTAGTGGATCGCATTAATTCATTGCAGTGAATGAAACTAAGCATTTTGTTTAACAATAAATGTTTGGTTTTCTAGCTTCAAGAACTTATACACGACCAACGCTCCAAAGCATACAATATTCACTATATATCTAAATGTTGGAGAACAAAGAAATCAGATCTGATCAGATCAGAATTTGGTCATTTTCTCTGTATAACGTTAATGAATTTCCGCAACGGAATCTTGATCACTAGACATATTAATGAAATGTACTTATTGACTACACGTTTTGATGATCATTCATCTTGCAACTAGGATCCATGATGTTATGTAGCAACCTAAACTGATACGTATTCATGTGTCCCAGGACTTATATTGTGCTTGACTGACTGATATAACTAATATGCTTGATGACGTATCACCAAGCGGTTTTGGCATAAGTGAATTGAGGGCTTTCATCAAACATCAGCATGAACCTATTTCGTTTTTGGTTGAAGGACATAGAAACTACTTCATTATTTTGTTATAGATTGAGTTGTTAACTTTATCTTAGTGGATGAAAAAATATCGAACGTATACAGGAGATAGGGTTATGGTCATATGGGATGATATTGAGTTTAAAATGACACTGACGATGTCAAAATATTTACCGATAACAATGACTGACTGAATGAGGTAGATATGAATGGTTTTGTAATCATCTGTATTGTCTGATGCGATATTCACTCGTGTTGTTTTTTCTGTTTATTGAATTACAGGAAAAGTTCAGCATCGTTATTAATCCTTTCGATTCTATTGAAAGGGATCAGTTGTTTCCTTCACTCGTTTCTTGTACAACTACTAAGCATGATGGAAATAGTAACTTCAAAAATAGGTCGCCAGCTGAAGGTGAAGATACTCTACAAACAACATCATCTGATCTAATACCACTGAAAGATATTAATGTTACGACTATCTCAGCTGCCAGTCCATCTTCGCCTAGCATTAGTCCACCGATGGTTGAGAATTTTCAAACCCATCCAACTCTGTTGACCAACCAAGGTCGATTGAGTGGTTCAATGTTTAGTCTTACTAGTACTGCGACTTTAATTCCACGTCATCATGAAAGTAATCTCTTTGAATCACACGGTTGCAATGACTCATCAATACCTAAACGCAATTCAGTTTGTTATAACCTAACTTCAAATAATTCAGAGAAGGAAGTTTTACGTAATAAAACACTTACAAGTTCTGTTAGACCTTCATCTGTTTATTCTAAACCACGGTCTTCAAAAACTGTGGCTTCGAACTGTGTCCCATTCAATAACCATTGTGCATTAAAAATTGAGAAAAATAAGAGAATTAAAAAATCTGATCTTAAACTATTAGAAGAAGTTGTTCAACAACTGAAAGCTTTACTTTTGAATAGGTAAGTCAATATTATTTATAATTCAGCGTTTAAATAATTCTAGTATAGTTTGTTAAAAGGGATATATACTACTTATAGTTAAAGTAGCGTGTTTTAAGTTCATCATACTATTCATGTATCTATCTTTAAAAGACAAGATATTATTATTTTAGTGTTTCACAAAATATCATTTGACATTTAATTTTAATATTTTAGTTCTGGACAAGCTATATGGACGTGGGAAGATTTTAACATACAACACAATTCTTTTAGTACCACATTTCAGTATTCTTATCAAAATGAATCTCATCAGATTATTAGCAACGAGAAAGTAGAAAATAAAGAGTCAGTTATAAAATCAATGACTAATGTTAACTCTTTGGAACAACTTGTTAAACTTGTTGCTCGTATACTAGCCTTATCTGAAGCTGGTTCTGAACAAGCTGAAAAGTGTTTGCAGTGCTTACATGGTCCACCACATAATCATAATAGCCAGAGTTTAACTTTTGCAGATGATGATTACAAAGATGCGATTATTGATCATTCAAATTATTGTATGGTTGCACGTTTATCTCGAATTGCTTTGAATACTGGTTTATCGTGTCCTAGTCGACATCTTGCTAGTCGTTCTTTACAAATTCACCGTGCTCTTGGTGGTCATTTAGACAAGAAATCTTTTTCACAATTGTTAGCTAGATTAGGTGAAACAGTATCTGATGGGAGTGAAGAAATACAGGTAATTGTATTGTATGGATTTTGTTTCGGTCATCATTACAATGTTTTAGCACATATATATTTTTTTAGAGCAATTTACATTTCTGAAATGTATACAAATATCATTCCTCATAAAGTTCATAATTATTAGTTAGAATTTATAGTATTGGAAGGTAGTTATACTTCTAGTAATAATAGTTGTATATCGTATTAAGGTATTGTAAGTATTCGGATTTCGCAACGGTTCATCTAAGGAACGCCCTGGTACGGCCGAGAGTGGGGAGAGTCCGCTCTCCCTCTCGAAATGCTCTCACATGGCCATGCGTATATAGCCTCTGCCAGGGAAGTCCTACTCACTACCTTCTCGTGGCGGGGGTGTTGTTTACGAAAATGAGAGGACGAAAAGTGAATGTGCTGCGCTATAACCGGATCCCAAATCAATGGTGCACATGGGCTCCAGTATCCCGAAGGAACAAATGGCGTATGAACCAATCGTTGGTCACCGGCTACCATGGGACTACATCTCCTTACGATGCTCCACTGCCTTGTGGGTCAGACGTTCAGGTCGAAGGCTCGGGGTGTGGCCCCCTAAGAAAACCACCTGCTTCGGTTTGGGCACCCGGGCAGTATCACAGCCCTCACACAAATCAATTGAGATTTGTGTGGCGCATATGTATTTGGTGCCTCCTTGTACCAATACCTATGTGTTAAAATAAATAAAGATCTAAGGAAGTTGAGTATGGGGAAGAAGTTGAATACGTTTAAGGAGATTTACGTTGTTGTTGAATGAAGAGCTTCATGAAAACGTATTATTGCTAATTACAATTCATAGCAGGAAGAGAAAGCAAAGTCACTAGTTATGAAAGTCATCCGCAATTCTGACTGGACTAAGAAACACTTATGAAGAAAAATAAGAGGAATCAAAATTCTCTAATGCTCTCAGGATACTACTCAAGGTTATCGTCATTTAATTTTGCATTAGAATTTGGTTTAACAATATGAGTTGCACAACGTTCTGGAAATAAGGATTTTTTGTGCTTAGTTACCTGTTTAAAAGCGTCAAATCACACTCGAAGTCTATTTACTACTTGGTGATATAGGTTTTCTCTCATGGTTCAGCCTTTCTGACACATTTGTATAATTCAAAATACATAAATTATCCACTCTTTAATTGATTATTTTTAAATAAATCTTTGGTACATGACATTTATTTGACCATATCTTTTCTTAGACAGTTACCGTAGTTATTCTTCAGTACATGATACATTTATTTTTTCAACACGTATACACTGTGTTAAGCAATGGAACATTCTAGATTAACCGTTATAGTAATACGTGTTGGAAAACATTTTACATACACAACCTGATCATATATGAAGTCAAACTCAGACTAAATAGTCGAAGCAGTCTTTCTAATTGCAATTATAATAGTAAAAACAGAAACCTTACAGTAATTCCAGCGAGTTAGAAACCTGGTATTTGAGACTTGATTGCTTGACATATCTACAATCTCTTGTAACAAAACCAATACGTCTTACGTGTTAGATAAATTACGCCTATCGTGACTCGGTGAATAATATTAGGATATTTTAAGCGATGATTACCTTGTTTCGGCGTTAGTTGGGCATATCAACACTGAGGTTTAAGTGCATCCCATTAACGATTTCGAAATAAAATCAAATTCAATTTCTGTATTCTTCTATTGTCCACTATTAACAATGTCAGCTACATTTGATTTCAGGTATTATCGAAACATCCAGTCATAGGGCTTTAATTCAAATAGAAAGGAATTGATACAGTTTTAACTACTACATACCGATAAATATAAACCCACACAACATAAATAACTTGAAATTTGATCTGTTTTGCTCTCTTTAAATTTCTTTGTTTTTTTTACGAGATTAAATTATGTTAACTTCATTATAATTCCGATATTTTTAATTCATGTGCTCTTTAGGGTTATGTCGCTGAACTTTTCCTCACACAAGAAGCAGCTATTCATCATTTGAAATCAAAAAGTGATAGTTTACTGGAATCTACGTCTTATTTCACCTTTGAACCTACCTCTCCATCATCCAGTTCACTTAATGGGAGTGGACGTAAATCAGTGCAAAATATAGTTTCAATATCAGATCGCCGTCATTTTCATCGTCATTCAAAATCTTCATCCGTAATTGGAAATCGGTCATGTCATTTAAGTTCTGTTATGCCTATCAATGATTGTGATTTATCTAAATTAACTCAGTCAACCTCTACAAATTTGGAATATACATCATCAACCTTATCGTTTCCTTCTGATTCTAAGTAAGAGCTTATTCTTTAGTCATAATTAACGTTGAAAATAATGTCCTTAATGTTTTACTTAATTTTCCATCGATTGAATAGCTTTCACAAATGTGTTCGTCTTTAATAAATAAGGTGAATAAATATGATAAGGCGATCAGTGAATGCAAACAACTTGAAACAGTATTACTGTTTGGTTAGTCGGAGATGAATATGCTCAATACATCCATCATTTTCTTCAATGTAATGTAGTTGCTAGTTCACGTTCTGCTCTTCTACTATGCCGTAGAACTTTCAACCTTCTGATTTTATTACTACACTTAATTACTCAGTGTAAAGCGATTCACTTTTATATTTAAACTATTGAAGTCATTTTTAATCTACTGAATTCGAAATAATTTCTTTCCTCAAATTAACATATTTCTATTGGCCTTTTTTTCGTTGGTAGTCACTTAACAAAAATATCTAGTACTTCAAATACATCTACACCTAAGCCAAATAATAACAACACTAATAATGTATGCCTGTTACCCCCAGAAGAACGTGCTGACCTAATTATTGGGATCTTTTGGACCGGCGTTTTACTCCTGGAATCAGATTTTGAACATGAATATTTGGTTGGTCTAAAACTTTTAAATTTAGTTATTCCGAGTGTTTGCACATCAAATTTAAGCCAACCATCTGACTGTTCAAAAATAAATTTGAGTGATAGGGCGCAAAAGATGCTTAACCAATTACAATGGAATCCATGTTTTCCTGGAATACTTAGTTTGGTGATTAAAGTAAGTTATATTATTACTTCATTATCAATGTTTTCAATGCATTATATTTTCATTTATCAGGATTATTATCTTTTAACAAGAGTGTCTTCGAAAGCATGTTATTTTATATGTTGAAATTGGAATCACTTTTAAAAATACTACAACTCTGTCCACTAAGCATATCTTTCTCAACTCGTATGACTATCGCTATATTATCTCCCTTTTTTGTTGATTTATTCAATCGCGGTTGACGTATAGGTATTTTGAATAGATATTCAGTATTGCATGTTTTCACATCTTGATTTCGGCAACGACTTTTACGTTACCATCATAAACACAAAATTGGTGGCTATCATCTGTAAGTGTGTGAACTGTTATTAACTATAGAGTTAATGTGTACTGATTTCCATTACCACATCGTAGCTGTTTTATTACAATGGAAAATACATGATTAGTTACTTTTTTTGGTGGCCTGAGATCTGACTCCAGGTTGATCGTTTCTGATTGTTACCGAAACACATTCCGCCATTCCTCGTATAAAATTATCGACTTAACTCGCGTTAGTGAATAACGAAATTAAATAAGTCAAATAGGAGAATAAAGTTTGAATACATATATTTCATACAATCGTTGATGTGAACAGACAATGAAGGAGACGGTACGAAGAGGAGAGAGAGAAGTGAAACGAAATGATGCGCGGTGGAGAAGGTATGTGAGCTAATTCGATTTAATCAAGCGAGAATCGATATTTATAGTCAGATAAAAATAAGTTACAGACATTTGATCAGTAGGATAAGCAATGCACACACATACACATAAAAACAGTCTAGGTTGATAAGCGATTACTCAAACAGGTCAAAATGTGACTCAAGAAGAATGAATAAATTGGCCTGTCCGGTTGCTATATAAGATATATGTGCAAGACATAGCAAGGGACACTACACTTTAATAACAATGTGATGCGTTGTCAGTAAAATAAAACTACCTTAAAGATGAGACAATCGACAAATATTCATTAACATTTTGATTATTAATAATGCATTACATTTTGCACAAAATAGATTCATAATGAGCACTATTCGTGTTTATATAATTTCTATTGTTTCGCCCATTGTTTCTTTTGTAGTGTTCTCACTGTAATTTATTTTGTTCAGAATACATCTATTTCCTCTGTTTTTGCTTTTTCTTTAACACAGGGTTGTTCTTCACCAAATCTTGTGGATCAGTCTTGTCGATTACTCGTATTATTAATCCCGTTTCTCACTCATCCTCTGGTAGTACCAACTGGACGTATGGGGTTATCTATTCAATTATCATTTCCTATTGTTCTGCTTACTCTTATGCCTATGTTAATAACCGCTTGGGATGAAGATCCATCTACATCAGTTCCTATAAACCCATGTGATACTAATGCCGAACAACTTAGTTTCTTACAGGGTGGTTTTCTAGGTCGAGGTATATGTGGATCGTTAAATGTTATTCCTCGAGCACTTGGTTCATGGACGTCGTGTTTTTGTACTCCATACACGTCATATACGAATCCAAACATAGCATCTAACTCGAAACTAAGGACAGACAGTGTCGGGATTTTTGCTAATTGTCCATCAAACAGCCTTGGCACTTTCAGTGCTCATGAATCAACGTCGAACTTAAACTCCATAGCTACAGGAAGCACCAGTCGTGACACACAATTGAATTCGAAGTCACCAATTTTACGACCAAAGAACCCCATTTGTATTCAGGTATGTCCAATTTAAACGATACACTATTCCTATCTCCTTACGATACTGAATTGGATAATTGTTTTCGGCATCACTCGTTCTAAATTCACACAATTGGATGTATTGAACAATTGTTCACTTCGATTCTCAAAATCGTTGATAGTTCGCATTCAACGGAAAAGTTACAGGGTCGTTAATTTTTATATGGTTTGGGGCAGTGGAACTGGCTTTATCAGTTAACACCTTCACCATAATCCACGATCCCGCACCCCGCGGGATTCGAACCCAGGACCTATCGTGTGGCGCATATATATTTGGTGCCCCCCTGTACCAATATTTATGTGTTCAAATAAATAAATAATAAATTCACCATAATCAGTTCAAGACAGATCACAAATTATCTATTTATATCATGTATATCATTTCAAAAGTTGGATGATTTATCAACCTTGCAACCCATACCTCTTATTATAACCTTGACTAACTATTCTCAAGCTAATGAAATGTACTTTTAGAGTTCATATCTCGCACTTTTGACTATAAAGCCTTGTTACTGTCATCAGTGGGTGATACCAATTTTAATCCGATATCTGTGGGAACAATTTAATTATACTTCTAATTTTATGGTATAACAGTCTATTTAAGTCAGATATTCAGATTCAGTATATTATATCTGATCAATAATATGAGATAAAAAATTTACAGTGACATAACTGCTAGGATGTAGATTGGACGAGCAAAACTACTACTGATTTACAAAGACTTTTATTTAGTTAGCTGAATAGTCACTGGTGATGATCAAATGTTGTTCATGTATCGCAGTATGTTTATTTGTTGAATACTTTAAAAGCCTATAGTTATTAAGAATACAGGCATGAAAAAGAGTGAAATTCTCACAGTTATCTTATGTGATAAACAATGATTTTTCTTCTGTGTTTTGATTTAATGCACAACCTATTCTGGCGTAGAAATAGTTTTAATCGGTTTGACGTTTCACACACAATTGATGCATCAAGATGAAATCTGAGGAAGATTGAAGTTAAAACAATGCTGTTAACATATAACTCCTATTGTAATCAAATTTATGTTCTACTGTTATAGGCCGCCGAATCACTTGCTCAGGCTGCATTAAAAACTGATCCAATCCAATTTACTAATCTAGCACTGATTCTCCGTCTTTATGCTTCTGGTAGTTTTTCCAAGGACGTTGATCAATGGAGTCGATGTGTTATATGTTATTTATTAGAAGGTTGTAGTTCAAATATATCACGTTTGCTGAAACATATCAACATGGTGAGGACATATGTAATCTACCTGCTTTTATTTCGTTTAAAATTACTTTCTTTTAACATATTAATAAGAATTTTTCCACTCATCGTGTTATGTATGCTACCTATGTCGACAGATATAAATAGTATGTAACACCCATCGGAAGTTGATGAGAAAGTAGAAATGGACATAGAAAAGAATCGTAACTTGAAGGAATCGTACAGAATTGGAAGGACAAATGATAGAATTTCGTAAATTAAGTATTCAATGTATGGTTCTCATATTTCACCAGGAGATTCTATAATTTTATGTTTAAATACTTTTGGTTGTCTCCACCTGTTTGTTCGTTCATTACAATTGGGATATGACAAAAAAATATTTATTACTAAGGTGTTTTGAAACGTGATCAATTATCATAAGTTGATTGATATTTTCTCACATCATGAAACTTATTTAAAAATGATGTCGAAATAGACATGGTAATGTGTCATATTGAATCTATCCACTTTATTAGTACAGTAGTATTACTGTCTTCTTTATATTTCATGCGGAACTAATTTCCTGCTTCAATATTTTTATTAACTAAAAAACATGAAATTACTATGAACTCTTGTATTTCGACTATATATCATAATAAACCTTGATTGTAAATGCAAATACTTTTAACTGTCACACAGTGAAAAACGTTTCCTTTTTCAAATAGTCCTTTCATGGTTCAGAGTTGTTATCCACTGTCTCCCCTAGTTTTTATTTTTGACACATCCATGTGTTTTACAGGTTCAAATAAAGTACGTTCCTTATTCGTAACTGAATATGCCTTAGGTACGACTTTCATTCAGTAATGTAATTCAAATTTTATCAGTTTTTGTGCAATTGTTTGTGTGAAATTGACTAAATCTCGATCGCTCCCTTAGAAACTTCGATGTTTTGTTATTCTGTGAACACTAAATTTTTTGCTTACAGTCGAATCCTGTATTAGGAAGAATTTTTCAGGGAGAAATTAAAATAATCTATTTTATAGTTTGGTTACTTTTATTGGTAATTGCTAAACGAAATACTAACCAAAGTTTTTGTTGATTGTATTTGTATGTCGTACAGATATCGATGGAGCGTCAAGTATAATAAAATACTAGTTAAAATTCTAGTAACTGTTTTCATTTGAGATAGTGGATTCATGCTTATTTATTATCATCAATGCAAATTTACTAGACCGGTAATGGTCTTCATGTTACTGAATGATGCCTAATTTGTTCATGAACGTACGGTACAGATTTCTTTTCTAATGCTCACTAAAAACTGGTTAACTACCTTGCCAAAGTAAATATTCCATACCGAATTCCTAACTGATTGTTACGCGCTAGAATAACTGTCATGTACATTGAATACATACACCTTGCAACGTCCACTATAACGCAGTACATGTGGGGAACTCTTTTTCCATTGCTTATCCGTAAAAGTAAAATTTTATTATTCTCACTAGCGACGGTTTATTAAATCAACCGTTATTATGTTTGCGCTGTTCGGAAACATAATGAAAAAATTGTCAACAAAGTTATCAAGAGGAGAGTGTTTGGGTCGGCAGAAAACTGTGAGAGACTGTAATGTGTGGGTCAATGTTAGTGTCAAGTATGAATCGATCTCATTCTTCTTTTTTCCTCAAAGATGTATCTTTGAAAAGTGACGAATACAGTTTTACTAACACTATTATGTTGTTTCACAGTATTTGGGCGCCGAGCTAATGTGAGACATTAAAGAGGAAGAATGTATTTATAAAATCTCAGCGAATGAATTTGAAGTAAATCCAACGTTTCGCCTGGCAATCTGGTCCAAGCTTTTTCAAGGAAATTCAAATGCATTCTTTCTCTTTACTATTATGTTGTGTTTCTTAATTTAAAATAACCTGATATTATTTTCTAAATTTTAGCTCTTAACTTCTGGACCACCTTGTCTCCAATTACCTTTGCTTAAAGTGGCTCACTTGTTCTTACAACAAGTTGATATCAATCAAAGAGATATGGAATACTCATTACAAAATTTTATTACGTCGATTGTTAACCAGTTTATTGGAGTAGGGAATCAAAGTTTTCTTTTCTCTATTTGTTTTTATAATTAAACTTGTCTTAAAATTATTTAATAATTATTATTTACGAAAACACAATATGATGAAACACGATCATTTAAGTGTACTGATATCAGAAAAAGCATGTCATGCAAGTCCAATCTATGTATAGGAACAGAATAAGTGGTAAATATGATAACATATATAATCAACTTCATGCAAGATGTGAATGTTGTGGACAAAAATTTAAAATATTTAGTTATAAAAACAACAGTTAGATAAACATGACGGCAGTGATAGTAATACTAATACTAAAAAAAGATAGTTCAACATGGGTTTTAAAATTCTGTAAAAGATTAAAGATTAGGATGTTTAAGGTGTCTGAAGAGAGAGTCAAACGATATTTCTATGGTGATAAAAAATTCACCATTATAATGACAACCGTTCATTAGTTGTATGACTTAACTTTACCTCTATATAAAATCTATTTTCATTCGTTGTATTGATAATAAGTGGTAATAGTTACTGAATGTTGTCATAATAATTATTATTACTAGACTTGTAATTTAGAGGCACTCATTTTTCAGTAATTTTAACAAAACTAGAGATTTTAATCGTTTGTATTTACTGGAAAACATTACTCAGCAAGTTCTCAAGTGGATACGACTAGTAGTGTTGAAAAAATGATAGGAATTTTTGTTTTATGAAATGTTTCATCAAATTATGTTAACTCCTATATATTTTCCTTCTCTTATTTTCATTATATAGACATGTTTATGGACCCATGTTATTCCAATTTTACAAGTTACCGTTTCACGTTCAGCTGTATTAAACTCTGTTCCAGAAACACCTGCGTACACTTTACCTGGTTTAGATCCTTCAGGTAGTGGTCGTGTTTTAGATTATGCAATTGCTTCGGCGGCAGTAGCTGTTCCACTACCAGATAGTGAACCTCCTAGATTAGAACTTGGTGGTCCTGTGTTAGATTTCACTTTTAATGTTCTTCAAGAAGCCCCATTATTAGCTCCTCAGTATGCCCCAATCTCTTCATCGCATTCGACTTCTGAAAATATATCCAAAGTGGATATTCCAACATTTGATCATACTTCATCATCAAAGGGCACTAAAAAAGATTTTATTGACGTTAGTGATATTGGCCTAACTGAAATATTCGTATCAGCATCTAATGGGTGGAATAAGCCAGGAAACTCTCAGGTACGTGCAGCTATTTTCCCTCTGCATAGAGTTTGTGCTCGTATCAATGATTTGTTTAAAACTTGTAACTGCAAGGATATATAGATAAAATCGTCTGACAGTTCACATACGTCCTTAGGATATTTTTTTATCCTAATATTAACAGTGAGAAAACCCAAACCAGTACACCCATAAATTCATACCCATTGAATAGATTAGTGTCTTTCTGAGTTAAATAGCTCAAGGATAGCGCTTTAAAGTTTGTATCAAAGGATATGCTTTTGAAGTCTCATAGTAAGCACAAACATCGGGTTATAAACACATTCGATTAATGATTCATAAATAGGACTGGGTGCGCGTCATCAATTCTTTAGCTAAGCACAATCCTAACATTAAAAAATTCTTTTCAAGCGTTTTGTATAATGAGTCAAGAGAATCTATGCAATACATATTATCTTGCGACCTTTGTTGTTTCTACCGTCTATTCCTTACACATTATCTGGTCAATAATAATTATAGTTTGATTGACTGACTTGTTTTTCTTGTTCAAAATGCTGAGCTTATCAGCGTTTATCACTTGGTATTGGTAATCGAACACATAAGACTTCCATTTGGTTAATCTTCAGTGCAAAATTTCGTCTATTGTTCTTTCCATCTTTATTTTTCTAAATTTTCTATTAATTGAAATTCAGTGCTTACCACTCTTAACGTTTTTATTACTGTGGTACCTCTATTGAAAATTCCAACTTTCAATGACACTTGTAACACAGAAAACTGAATTGGACGTATCCATATCGTCTCATTGCCTATATTTTAAAACGAGGAACCACTGGAATTCTCATGGCTCAAATTAAGAACACAAAAGTTTGGTATAAGTGAATAGTTATTCGCTCCAAATACAACGACCGTAGCTGAAAATACATACACCTATATATTGATTTGTAACCCAACTTGATTAGTAATATAACTACTTACTTACTTACTTACTTACGCCTGTTACTCCCAATGGAGCATAGGCCGCCGACCAGCATTCTCCAACCCACTCTGTCCTGGGCCTTCTTTTCTAGTTCCATCCAATTCTTGTTCATTTTTCTCATATCTATCTCCATTTCCCGGCGTAATGTATTCTTTGGTCTTCCTCTCCTCCTTCGACCTTGAGGATTCCATATGAGGGCTTGTCTTGTGACGCAGTTGGGTGTTTTCCTCAATGTGTGTCCTATCCACTTCCAGCGCTTCTTCCTGATTTCTTCCTCCACTGGGATCTGATTTGTTCTCTCCCACAGTAGGTTGTTGCTTATAGTGTCCGGCCAGCGGATCTGAAGTATTTTGCGTAGACAACTGTTAATAAACACCTGTATCTTTTGGACGATGGATTTCGTAGTTTTCCAGGTTTCCGCGCCATACAGTAGAACTGTCTTGACATTTGTATTGAAAATTCTGACTTTGGTGTTGGTTGCTAATTGTTTTGAGTTCCAGATATTCTTCAGTTGTAGATATGCTGCTCTTGCTTTGCCAATCCGTGCCTTCACGTCTGCATCAGATCCACCGTGTTCATCGATGATACTGCCCAAATATGTAAAGGTTTTTACATCTTCCAAAGCTTCTCCGTCAATTGTGATTGGATTGGTACATGTTGTGTTGTATCGAAGAATCTTGTTTTTCCCTTTGTGTATATTGAGACCTATTGCTGCTGAGGCTGCAGCTACACTGGTTGTCTTCTCCTGCATTTGTTGTTGTGTATGCGATAGAAGAGCCAGATCATCTGCGAAGTCTAGATCATCCAATTGCATCCTAGCTATCCACTGTATCCCGTGCTTCCCTTCAGATGTTGATGTCTTCATGATCCAGTCGATCACCAGGAGAAAGAGAAAGGGTGAGAGTAAGCAACCTTGCCTAACACCAGTCTTTACTTCGAACGACTTTGTCAACTGTCCTCCATGCACGATATATAAAAAGTCACATATATGCAAATTACACAGAGCTATATGAAATTATATTCTACAAGTCATGCTGAACTTAGTTCACTATAATCTAATACAAGAAATATCATATCTTTATCTGAACATCACACTCAAAATAAAACGAATATTATTCTGAGCATTTATCTCATTGAATTAAAGAAAAAACGTGATCTCACCTTTTTATCTCGTTGTATCAGTGTCCAACTGTCGAACATACACAAAACGATTATTCACAGTATAACCGCTCAGTAATATAGATTACTAGTTCTTTTTCTCAGTGAACTTGATATAAAATACTTTATAAACCAAACAACGCCATCTTTCTATTCATCAGATACGTTTGCGTGAAAAGCTCTATTGTTTAGTCAGTTGTTATGGACTTCCTCCTCAACAGTGTATCAGTGCTCCAAGAAGTCCTTCGGTAAGTGATCGTATAAATTTACATATTCGTTTAGTCTCTTTTCTTAAAATTTTCTTACAAGCAGTCGTAATTTAATGGGCATTCAACATATGCATAGGTACTAAAAATTCAGAGCAAAATGTTGAAATACTAAAAGTTGAAGGCACATAACTTTCAAAGACATCTCAATATTCGGATTGCATTTTTAACTTGTTACACAACTTTATGTTAGATATTAAACTGAGTTGTTCATGTGAATCGATCACTGAGCATTGGCGAATCTCTGTTTTCTAGTCTCTAGTATTTATTGAGTTCTATTGATCATATTCATTACTTTGACAAATGCTATAATTATAAAATAACGATACTACTTATTTACTCACTTGAGCAGACGAGTATACATTCTCTATCTTCTCAAATAATTTTCTCTCTACTCATTCTTTGGACATAAACTTATGAAGCACCCAACTTCCACAACAAAGGAGTTTTAAGTCAGTCTGTTCAATCGTATACTATGTATACGGTTGCTTATAAATCATCGTTGTGCAGTGCCATGGTGGTCATTAAATTTTATTTATTTATTTTAACACAGGTATTGGTACAAAGAGGTACCAAATACATATGCGCCACACAAATCTCAATTGATTTGTGTGAGGGCTGTGATACTGCCCGGGTGCCCAAACCGAAGCAGGTGGTTTTCTTAGGGGGCCACACCCCGAGCCTTCGACCTGAACGTCTGACCCACAAGGCAGTGGAGCATCGTAAGGAGATGTAGTCCCATGGTAGCCGGTGACCAACGATTGGTTCATACGCCATTTGTTCCTTCGGGATACTGGAGCCCATGTGCACCATTGATTTGGGATCCGGTTATAGCGCAGCACATTCACTTTTCGTCCTCTCATTTTCGTAAACAACACCCCCGCCACGAGAAGGCAGTGAGTAGGACTTCCCTGGCAGAGGCTATATACGCATGGCCATGTGAGAGCATTTCGAGAGGGAGAGCGGACTCTCCCCACTCTCGGCCGTACCAGGGCATTTGGGGGCGGTCATTAAATTAATTTCACCTGAGAATAAATTATTGAGTTAATACACATTGGTTTTAAGTGATTCTCCACTGTTTACAAACGAAATCAGAATTTGTTACTTGAGAAATTTCGGAGAAGAAATATCTAGCCACGTGGATTTTATAGATTAGTTTAATGTGAATAGATTATTAGATTCCACCGTCGTGATCGGAAGGTAAACCAAGCTCGTCATGTGACTTGAGGATTATAAACTAAATTGTGGTTGTTTAGTGATTCTGCAGTTGATTTCAACTTCTCTTTGAAAAGTCTGTCTACATATTTAAAATTCTTTTCCTATTCAGTTAATTTTGTTAAGAATAATCTCTTTTTCACTTGTTCGTAAATGGATTCTTATATAATTAATTTGTTTTCCTCTCTTTCTATCTAATAATTAGGTTATATTCAGTCAATCTACTGAAACTTTAGATCCTCAATTAAGTATCCATTCCAGCAGTGAAACAACATCTGTAGTCGATATTAGTAATTCAGGTATATACTTTTTGACTTGATGCTTTCTTTGTAACATGTGTTCAGCTTTTCATGTTGCACTGATGGATGATTATGTATTTCATGAATTTTGAAACAGATTTTTTTGAGCAGTTTAAAAGTCCCCATAGAATATTCAAAAATGAAGAATATTTGAGCGAACAATTGTTTTCAATAACTTCATCATCAGGCTCTACAATTATGGACTTATAACTGTAGAGCCTGATGATGAGGTGATTAAAAACAATTGTTCGCTCAAATATTCTTCATTTTTGAAGATTTTTTTGAGATTGAAAATTTAATTCATCTTTCTTTTAAGGAAGATGACCAGTTATTGTATAGTAAAGTGGATTCTTTTCAGTCCGTATTGTCTACGGTTTCCATATATTTAGTGTACAAATACCGTTTCATAAAAAGTGTGCATAATGTCATTAAGCTCATCACAAATACTTTCCACAAAAGTACAAACACACTTTTATATCATTTATTACATAATCAATGATAAGTAACACGTGCAAGTTGTTGTCATGAATAATGTAAAGTGTAATGAAAACCAAACATTGGAAATGTGTCACATAGCTGATCTGCATTCAAACATTCTAATATAGCACTGTCAAAGTCTGATCCATATTAATCATTGATAAAGGCAATAAATCCCTTAATACCACCATTATGAATGTTCCGAAATCACAGTTAGACTGAATAAATAATAAGGGAAGGCTAGGATGAGGAGTGTTTCGTGACAAAAAATGTGCTATTACAAAGCGATCCACAGTTTAACCTATAATTAGAAAGGGACTACCAAGTGAACTTCTGCAAAACTCAGAAATATCTCATTGTCTCTCCTCCACTAACTACAAATCAATGGTGTGTTTACTTCTGACACTGTTAATTAACTGAGGTTTTTCACTATCAAATCAATAAGAATAATCCTAATAAACTTTATGATGAAAGAAATAAACTTTACGCGTAGAATATATTTTAACAATAATTGGTATAGTTAACAAGAGATTCATAATTGTATATAACTACAAAATTTTGTTGAGAATAAAATGTTTGACAGAATTAATTAGTTACCTCTAATAACATTGTGCATAGTTTTCTAATAATAATTATAGGGTTGTATACTAATATTGTAGGATGAGTAGGCATCATCTAGATTAATTTTTAGTTTAATTGTACAAAATAATAACACCTGGTTGTAAGAGTTTCCAGCTTCTTGATTTTGATGTTTAGGACTTCAATTGATCAGTCTCTATTGATATTCTTAGCAAATTGTCTCAGTAACTTAGTGGATAATGCATTGGCGTCTAAAGTGATAGGTACTAGGCTCAAACTAGTATAAAATCCCCATTTCTAATTCCATTGATAGCTGCGGTCCGATTTTACGAAAAGTAACGACAACCCTTGTCAACCTTAAAAGTTTTTTTGATTTTTGTAGAAAAATTAAAAGAAAATATATTCGAAGTAGTTTATATGAACTAATTTTCATTCTACTTATTATTATCACACCTTTTTGTTGCTAATTCTATGCATTTTTTTATAGATGATATTCATTTAGATGATACAAGCAGTGGTGAACAGACTGCTGTGTTTCGTGATTTGGATACTTATTTAGATGCTCAGTTAATGAATATAAACTTTTTGGGTGTACCAGATTGTAGATTAGTAAGTTATTCTATGTATTCATATTTTCTATTGTACAATGGTATTGAGATATGGTTTAGACAGCGGTGGCCAGATAGCTGAAACTGTGTTCATCAAACGAGAACATTATTAACAGAATAGATTCTCATAGAACTAGTCTGAACACTTCTAACTTTCTTAATTTACATACTTCTGCTCAACTAATTGAATATTATCATTATCCATCATATTATCAAGTGTGTTTTAAAGCCAAGTCTATGAACTTGAATTTGGTCAGTGCATAAATTTATAAACATTTAACTAACAACGATTTTGTGGCTTTATTTCTACATAGTGTGCCTACCGAATTATGATGAAATGTAGATTTTCAACGGTTATGAAATCAATTAGTAAGATGGCTAAATAGTTTAAAAATTCTTGTTGATTCGTAGAGTAAAACACAAGAGTTCAGCGAGAAAGTCCGATTTTTAGTGGTATCGTCCCCAAGCTATACATCAACAGTTAAGTATTATGTTTGTTATATCCTAGTGAAGATTAAATTACGGGTAACTCCCGAGGACTATTAATGGACTAATATTCTATAAATATTCTTATTGTATAATTATTCAATAATTAGATTATGTATATTTATATTCCTCGTATTCATAAGCTTTGTTTTGACCTATAATTTATTATTGTACGATTTACTGTTCCTAAGCTATGTTCAGTTTATTCACTACTGCCTCCCACGTTCACAGTCTTTTTTGGCTATATTTTGTACGTTTGCTATTTTCTATTTTATGGTGGGTTGCGGTCTGTTTGGTTGATATATAAACCCAATATGTCTGAAATAAATGATTCGGTTCGATTCGCATAGTGGAAGCTAGTGTTGGTGTTCTGGACTCAAATGGATGGGCTAGGCGAACATAGGATCAATAAGGACGCTTGGCTGCTCATACCGGTCGAACGTCATTGGTTTGGCTCAGTGCTAAGATTGTATAAGTCGTATTTTGATTGGTAGATAAATCACTTGATAGAAAGCCGGATATAAAGTTATAACAATGTTCACCTGATAACAATGCAGGAAAAATTGCAAACCAAATGTTATCTTGAAGAAAGTTAGGTTTTTCAAAAAATATCAGCGATACAATTATTGTGTGATGGGAGAATTAGTACCAGTAAGTTGAACGATGGACGGATATTTACAGCTTCATAAATAATATTGGAATGGAAGTCACTGTGCTAGTTAATACAATGTAATTTCAATATATTAAATGAAAAAATGCTAATAGCTTATTTATTTGATGGATTGTAAAATGTTTGAATATTTTTATAGATAATTATTCACTTACTTACAGATTATTTTGTTTCTATCTCCTTGTTAGGCGTCAGCAAATGTGAGTTTAAACGCTTTATATTTTCCAGATTGGGTCTTGTTATTGAGTCGGTTGTATTTTAAGTCCTATATTGCAGTTTATTAAATATGTTGAAATAACTGATTTCATTTGCAAAATAGCTTTTTTTTCTAAGTTCAAGTCACAGTTCCGAGTTTCATTTTTGTTAGAGATTGAAAGATCTGCTGTTGATTTCAGTAATTTACATAAAAATTCATTGTATGTTTTCATCATGGAAGAAAACGTTAAGTTGAAAAGAATAATTAGTAAATACAATCATACAGAACTCCATACTATTGTGTATGGACTAACCGACTGTGAGACTATGGAATATCAAACAAACAGAAAATCCTGCCTAAAAGTTCACCAGTTCAATATACTGCGCAGTTCGCAAGGAAGAAAACCAATCGATCAACACGGAAACACATTAAGTTGAACAATAAAACAATAATGAATGTACTCATCATATAAGACTTCGAGTTATGAAATATTTAAAGTTTTGAAGGAGATCAATAGCAAATGGATTTGTCCTATCATCATCTCATCTCAAAATTTTGATACAGTTCAAAAACCTACATGATATGTTTCTAACATGATCAACTTTAAGAGGTTTTGAAGGTAACTTACGTTACAAATAATCAGTAAAAATACTATCGCACATATAGTTGTTTTTAACCTTTAAGTTTCTCAGCAGCGTTCAATCATAATGATTTTTAGTATTTGGACATAAAATCGTAGACTTCCACTTTAAGTATAGAATTTAAACAGTTACAATATCCTAATAGCTAATATTTCCTTGATTTGTTAACTCGTTAAGTAATTTAACTTGTCCATCGGTCTTATTTATACTTGACCACCATCCCTAAGATCTTAACTGGTACTTACTTACTTACTTACTTACGCCTGTTACTCCTCGTGAAGGAGCATAGGCCGCTCACCAGCATTCTCCATCTAACCCTGTCCTGGGCAATCCTTTCCAGCTCTTTCCAGTTCTTATCCAACCCTTTCATATGCGCTTCTATTTCCCGACGTAATGTGTTCTTTGGCCTTCCTCTTTTCCGCTTTCCCTCAGGATTCCAACTTACCGCTTGTCTCGTAAAGCAGTTTGACGATTTCCTCAATGTATGTCCTATCCATTTCCATAGTCTTTTCCTAATTTCCTCTTCAGCTGGAAGCTGGTTGGTTCTCTCCCACAAAAGGCTGTTGCTGATGGTATCCGGCCAATGGATGTTGAGTATCTTGCATAGACAGCTATTGATAAATACCTGTACCTCGTTGATAATGGTTGTTGTCGTTCTCCACGTTTAAGCTCCGTACAGTAGAACTGCCTTGAAGTTCGTATTGAAGATTCTGACTTTGATATTGGTTGAAATTTGTTTTGAGTTCCATATGTTCTTCAATTGAAGGAATGCTGTCCTTGCTTTGCCAATCCTCACCTTTACGTCTGCATTTGAACCTCGTTTATCGACGATGCTTCCCAGGTATGTGAAGGATTCCACATCTTCCAGAGTTTCGCCGTCAAGAGTGATTGGATTGCTGTTCTCCGTGTTGTATTTGAGGACCTTGGTTTTCCCCTTGTTGTATGTTGAGGCCTACTGATAAAGAGACTGCTGCTATGCTGGCTGTCTTTATCTGCATTTGTTCGTATGTATGCGATAGGAGGGCTAGGTCATCTGCGAAGTCCAAATCGTCTAATTGGTCCTGAGCTGTCCATTGTATGCCGGGTTTCCCTTCAGATGTCGAGGTCTTTATAATCTAGTCGACTACCAGAAGAAAGAGGAAGGGAGAGAGTAGACAGCCTTGTCTGACTCCGGTCCTTACTTGGAATGCGTCTGTGAGCTGTCCTGCATGCACTACTCTGCACTGTAGTCCATCGTATGAGATGCGGATAATGTTGACAATCTTCTCAGGAACTCCATAGTGTCGAAGAAGTTTCCATAACGTCCTCCTATCTACACAGTCAAATGCCTTCTCATAATCAATGAAGCTGATGTACAGTGACGAGTTCCACTCAATTGATTGTTCGACGATGATCCGTAGTGTCGCAATCTGGTCTGTGCACGACCGGTCCTTACGGAATCCAGCTTGTTGATCTCGAAGTTGAGCGTCTACTGTGTCTTTCATCCTGTTCAGTAACACTCTATTAAAGACTTTTCCTGGTATCGACAGTAGTGTAATGCCTCTGTAATTTTCACACTTGCTCAGATCTCCTTTCTTTGGAATCTTTATGAGGTGTCCTTTTTTATTCCAGTCCATCGGCACATGCTCCTCCTCCCAAATCTTCTTGAATAGAAGATGAAGCATGTTTGTAGTTACTTCGATGTCTGACTTCAGTGCTTCCGCTGGTATATTGTCGGGTCCTGCTGCTTTCCCGCTCTTGATTTGTCTGATGGCCATTCTGATTTCTTCCGTCGTTGGTGGATTGACATCTATAGGAAGATCTGTGTGTGCTGCTTCGATGTCCGGTGGATTCATTGGAACCGGCCTATTCAGGAGTTCCTCGAAGTACTCTGCCCATCTGTTCCGCTGTTGCTGAATCTCAGTGATCGGTCTTCCTTCTTTGTCTTTGACAGGTCTCTCTGGTTTACTGTATTTCCCTGCTAGCTTCTTCGTTGTATCGTAAAGCTGTTTCATATTTCCTTCTCTTGCAGCTTTCTCCGCCGTCGTTACTAGTTCTTCCACATATTTCTGCTTGTCAGCTCTAATGCTCTTCTTCACTTGCTTATTTGCTTCTATGTATTCAGCTTGTGCTTGGACTTTCTCTGCTCGTGTTCCACTGTCGTTAATTGCTGTCTTCTTGTTCTTCCTTTCTTTGATCCTGTCGTGTTTCTATAGAGATTCATTCCTTGTGATGATGCTTTTTGGAGCCCAGAACCTCTTGACACGTTGAAGTTAATGCTTCTTTCATACCTTTCCAGTTATCCTCCATAGTAGTTTCTTCTTCCTTCAGTAGATCCTGTAGGGCTTGGAACCTGTTGTTGAGAGCTATCTTGAATTCATTGAGTTTGCCAGTATCTCGAAGGAAGGCTGTATTGAAACTTTGCAGCGCTGTTTGTCCAGTTCTTCTTTAGCTTCAGTTTTAAATTGGCTACAACCAGGTAGTGATCTGAAGCTATGTCCGCTCCTCTCCTGGTTTTCACATCTTTCATTGTCATTCGGAACTTTTTATTGATGCAAATATGATCTACCTGATTCTCCATGGTGTGGTCCGGTGAGATCCATGTAGCTTTGTGTATACGTTTGTGTGGAAATATTGTGCCGCCCATAACCAATTTGTTGAATGCACACAGATTTACAAATCTTTCCCCATTTTCGTTTCTCTCTCCCAGTTCATGCAGTCCCATGATATCTTCATATCCGATGTTGTCTATTCCGACTTTGGCGTTTAGATCTCCCATCAGAATGGTGAGGTCCTTTCTTGGGCACTTCTCTATGATTGATTGCAGCCGCTCATAGAATCGAACTTTAACGTCGTCGTTGCTATCATTGGTGGGTGCATAACATTGGATAATGTTCCTTGTGATCCCCTCCTTCTTTGTTTTGAATGATGCTTTGATGATTCTGGATCCGTGAGATTCCCATCCTACAAGTGCATTTCGTGCTACTTTGGACAGCATTAGAGCAACCCCCTGCGTGTGTGGAGCATTTTCCTCTTCGTGACAGGAGTATAGCAGCATCTCTCCCGTATTTAGCCCTTGTTGTCCAGCTTGGGTCCAATGGGTTTCGCTGATTCCGAGTACTGCCAAGTTGTATCTCCTCATTTCTGTTGCTATTTGACTGGTCTTCCCGGTCTCCCACATTGTCCGGACGTTCCATGTACCTATAAAAATTGTTGCTCTGGTTGTTAGAAGGGGCATCGGCCTCGTGGCTTCCGAAGGAACTCGGCTTTCACCATGAGGCGTCATATTTCTTCTAAATGAAGACCTTCTAACTCCCAGGGTAGAGTTTAAATGGTTTGAGTTATTTTTTCTGGTTAGCGTTTTTTTAGCGAGTTAGTTTTCTACGGGATAGGGACGCTAACCCCATTCCCAACCCTCCTCCTTTACCCGGGCTTGGGACCGGCAATAACTCTAGGAGAGCTACAGGCGGAATTTCTTAACTGGTAGATGAATAGAATTTTCAGTAAATATCGTCATTTTCATTCTATTTGTGTTATGGGTCCGAGAGATGGTGCGACACAGTGGCTAGATACGTTATCAGATATGGCTCAGAATAGAAGCCAGTGGCGATCCTACTGTAACCTTCTTTTACTTTCTCCATAAAAGTAGTTGTATCTTGATAATGTAATAAAAAGACGGAGATTATCAGAACTATGTGATATATTAGCGCAATATATTTCGAACAATTTGATCACACATATACATGTTAAGAGCATTTATATATAAAAATAAAAGGTCAACTAGGCTGGAAATGGGGTAAGAGGAGATGTTAATAATAAGAGTAATAATAATAATAATAATAATAATAATAATAATAATAATAATAATAATCTGAACACAATTCAAAACCTAATCACTCTGGATAGTAAGTCAATATTACCAGGGTAGGTTTAAGGTGAGAACAAACTGTTTTTTTAATACACAAAGGGGGTTTGAATTTTCGTATGGCTAAAGCTTCAATAAACCTTAGTATACTCCCTTTTACACTTTTAAATAATACCACAAAAGCCGAGTTTAAATCAATATTATGCCCTGTTTCAATAATATGTTTAGCAATAGAGGATGATGGATGTTTATCCTCTGCTCTTATTGGGTCACTTGATTGTATTTGTTTCTGCAATTGTATCTTCCTTAACTGAAAGATTTCTTCAGGTTGTACCTTTCCGTTTCATTATTTATTTATTATTATTATTAATATACTACCTTACACTAATCTGGTCGTTATTGTTCTTTTTTTTCCCTTACTTACTTACTTATGGCGTACATTAACTTCTCTAATCGAACACAGCTAGTAGAATCAGAGCTTGTGGCCAACTGTTACTCCAAGAAATGTTCCCCATTCTTATTTAACCTTGTAATTGACATCCTTTTAAAGATAACACTTTCACTGTCTGACTTCCCAGGGGTTGATCTACTAAGAGATTCATTTGTTCACTGAAGGTATGCAGATGATTGACTCATGAGTCAAATTAATAGTTAACAACTTATAACATTGATGATCAAATTTACTCTCACTACTCTGTATAATCCGATGTAGACAATAACAGCTTTTTTAATACAAGCTACTGGTAATCTGCAATGGTTCGGTAATACACTTTAAAGAAAATAATCTACTACCTCACCCAAGGTCCAAAGTATAAAGTGAATACAGTGTTTTATAGCATCATTGGAAGGACTAGGTGTTTTAGAGACATGAGCAGTTATATTTATGTCACCTCATACTTTGCCTTTAACTAACTGAACAGCTGGTGTTTTTGATTGTCACCGTTTGCAATATATTTTGACCATAAAAAGTTTTTTGTTTCCGTAGCAATCTTTTCGCTTGTTTACCCTATTTCTCACTGTACATATCTTCGTGTTTTTATGTATATCTTTTTATTTTCTCTTTGTATTTTAGGCTTCCATGAGTGTAAGTCCAATGATAATCTTCCTGTTTAAAAACATCCAGGTTGTTTAATATACAGAAAGATTAAGTTCATCCTCATTATTTTATACGACTTCAATACATGTAGACTACTCCTATATCATAATCACTCTTCAACTATACATTTTTATTCGTTAAAGTGGTTCGTGGTGGTAAATTTAATTTGAAGTTGTTTTTCATCACTAACTATTATCAGTTGATGATATATTGCAAGCAAGGAAGCATTGTCCTAGTTCGAGACTCAACAGCGCACAATTATGATATTATATAGGAGTGGACCCACAACCGTCATATAGCGATCAAGACACTGTATACAATGGTTGATACTCTAAACTTCAATAAATTTTCAAGATCTAGTGATCCTCATCCGATATTAATGATTAGTCATGGACCCAAACTTCGCCTAGTTGATTCTGCAGATCTTTACTCCTCACTCAGAGCCCTATCATTTTTATAAAATTTAGTGAATCATATTTGACATAGCCAGATAATTTATGGATATTTATTCAATGCAGCCTAAAGGTCCTTGGTTGAATTGTAGTGAAATAAAACACCAGTGGGGACAATCCACCGTATTTAACAACAATTTACAGAACTAGTTAGTAAAATCAAACGACCATATATTGAATCGGTAATTTGCAAATTGTTCATCAATTATCTCAAATCACTCAGAATCCCCTTGTTCTTGCATTTTCATACGAATTGCCTTCTGTCTTCATTCTTTATTGTTCGATCTTCTTATCTCTCTGCCGCCAGACATTCTGTTCAGTGCTCACGTCATATACTACTTATGTCTACATAAGTAGCACACACCACAGAATCTCATCAAGTTTCATATGGGAGGTGCACTTCTGTAGGATTCCAACGTAAAATAAAAGGGCTATCCAACACTCTCTGAATTACTTCTTATGGCAATTCATAATGAAAATTACCTTCAAACATTTGCATTTCTTCGTTACTCCACCAGAATTTTTATTGTTGGTTAAAATTAGCCAACATTTTTTGTCTGACCATTTATTTTTTACGTAGTTTAATCATTAAAAGTCCATTTAAATGATAGTAACAAATCTGGTATTGTACTACCACCTCGGTATTCTTTTGAACTAATTATATAAATAATCCATTTGGATAGTTAAATAGTTTTTCTTTTATTGTCAAGAGAAACTATTAATGTTTCATTATAATTATCTGAGGAAAGGTCATTTTACTGACATTTATAAGAAAAAAGTGAAGAAACTATCGAATAATTCGTCCTTTCATAATATGATTGCATATGATCGGGTAAGAAATTGTCGTTGATAGCCAGAAAGAAGTTTTTATCTCCATCAACTAACTATTTACAGTATAAGAAGTAGTGTTATACGCTTGTAAACCCCACTGAACATTGTTGGATTTCATGTATTCATAGGTAGATTATTAAAGTAAGAATATGTGAGAAAAGCTTTTAATTCTCCACATATTAAGATTTATGATTTTTCCACTGATGAGAAAAAGTCCGATTTAGGAAAGTCACAATTTCAATTTTTGTGGTGATATGGTTGATTATTTAACTCGAAGTTCCTATATACAACCTCTTAATGTCATGATAAGGTTTCTACAATTCGTCCCTACAATTTTTAGCATTTTTTAAAAATTGTGCATTCAATCATCTTTATCGACAAAATTCTTGTCCGTTTGTTACTAGAAACGCATTAAGTTTACCTCAGAGGTGAGTTTTTCTCATCAACAGACTCCTTTCATCTAGCCAATGTTGAAACAATATTCATTTTCTCCACAATCATTCATATTAAATTTGACTGGAACCTATTTAGCACGTAATGCTGGATTGAAATTTTTATTATTTTTTTGTTCATTGCTTCTTAGGAGGAAGAACCTAGACGTCCTTGGGGTGTACGAGGCCAAGCAATTACATGTCATTTCGATTTTAATGGAGATGGGAATGAATCAGTTAATAATGAGTCTGTTGGTGGCTTATCTCGAACAGTACAACCGTTGGAGAAAACAACTTGTAGTTTGGCACATAGTATCACAGAATCGGATTATTTTACATCTGCTTATCAACATCATCACCACTCAGAAAAGCAGCATCAAAATCGAACACATTCATTGCCACACTTAACATGTGTTATTAATAATCTAAGTGATATGAAAGATACAGAATCTAATAGTTCGAGTACAAATCGATATTCAACGATAACAATTAGTAATAATTATACAGATGATAATATAGATAGTAAATATTCAGCAGCATCATACAGTGAACAACAACAACCACTACTACCACAGTTGGAATACAAAAAACCATCAACTTCACTTGCCTGGCGATCATTCTCTGAAGAACAGTCAAATTTCAGAGGTAATGATTTGATAAATGATGATCTTACTGGAAAAGAAAAGTTGAATAAGGGTATACAAGTAGTGAAATATCCACTTGTTACTGTACGCAATCCACGCAGTGAACGTGTAACATTTAATCTTGATGGTGATAAAAACCAAGATGATAATGATGAGGTCGGCAGGCAGGATGATGTTCATCAAAAAAATAAGCTATCTATGGACGATGGTATGGAGAAAATAAATGTTCGATGCATGTCGAAAACATGTAAGGGAATCCTAATCAATCGCTCAAACCATGATTATATTAAGGGACTATATAATGGATTGTTACTGTCCGATACTGTGCTTGCTAATAATTCTCGAGTACGATCCGCATCAGCACAATCACTCAATAATGATGGGAATTACAATGAAACTAATAATTCAAATCAAAATTTACGATCACGTATATATTTTCCTCGATGTCTGTCGTCTAATCGTAATGAAGTACGTACAAAATATATAAATCATGATCAATCAACAAATGAACCTGGAGAAACAGTTGATAATCACCATTATCATGATCATTTTTCTGTGAATACTCCACAAAAACCTTTGGTTGGACAAATCAAACGTAGTGTATCAACATCTGAATTATTATTGACTAGACAACATTTTACACTAAATCATAAATCAAACGATTACAAATCTTTAATTAATTCTGCAGTGTTGTCACCGTTAACATATCAAAATAAAGTCAGTTATCATGTAAATGACAAATATTTTACTAGCTTCTCTTCATCTTTATCATCGACAAGGTCACTGTCTCCAGTGAATCATCACAGCCAATTCGAACAAACGGCGTTTAATTTAATAAGTACAAATGATAAAGATAATTTGAACATTAACGATAATAATACTAATTTATCAAAAACCATTTCAAATCGACCAAATTCACTTTGTTCTTCTTCTTTATTGCCTCAATCGATTCCACTTTCATTATCACCAACATTAACAGCACCATCTGTACATAGTTCTCATTTATCACTTAATTGTATTGAAATTATTCGAAAATCCAATGATCTTCCTGTTATCCATAGAAAGCATATAGCAACAAGTGATTCACATTTGAATTGCTTTAATAAACAGATATTATGCAATCATCAGAAACTACATCAATCAAATAGTCATCATCGGTGTTATCATTTTTCATGTGTTAATGAAAGCACTGATAATGTTGATTCATCTGAATGTACTTCTTTGAACAAAATCGTATCAGTTCAACCAATACAAAGATTATGTTATTGGAAGTATCCAGTAAGTCATATATATCGTTCTTACATTTACAATACGACCTATCTCCTAATATGAGGTCTATCGCTTAGATATTTAAAAACCATATGATCGTAATAAACTGTAATTTAGAGTTGAACAAACTAGGTACATAAATAAATAATATATTTGTAATATCCCAATGAGTAGAAAATTAGATTTTCTGACGTTTCGTGACTTCGTGTAAGTCACTTCTTCAGAGAATAAGTAACCAAATTAAAATTAATCCAAGTTTAAATAGTACAACGGTTCCGTTCTACTCATTGGGATATTACAAATATATTATTTATTTATAACAATCAACTCAATGCTCAATTTATTCGAAATTATCAAATCGAACCTTGGTAATGATACCTACAAACTAGGTACATGTTTGTTAAAAGCCAGCATTACTCCGATAATGCAATTAATAAAATTATTGTTGTCACATTCACTTCAATAAGATTCATCTTTCACTATTATATTTTTATTAAAAGAAAACTGTTTAATTATTTCAGTTATGTCTTATCGAAAAATTTGTATACCGCATAGAAGTATGAAAAAATCTTTTATCATTGTTTAATTTGTTTCTAAGTTTTAAAGAATGGTGGCTTAGTGTAGATAAAGCACTTTGTTTTCAACAATAGGGTAGCATGTACTTCAGTTTTTTCAGCCGGTTAGTACCATCACCTATTAAAGTCAGACTTAGAGTAGAACTTTATGAGCACATGAAAATAATTGGCTTAAATCAGATCATTACTTACACTCATGTACTGAATATTACATTTTTATTTGACTCAAGTCGTTTATTTTGTAATTGGGATTTTAGGATTTTAATCATAATGAAGTTTTAACACTATCTAATTATGTTATTTTGAGAAATTAAACAATATTGTGCATATCAACTTATTTAGCTAATTACTGAACAAAAATGGATTACATTAGAACCTTTATCGAACTCAACCTGTTTACACTTCGATGAACAACAAAAGTTAATATCGCTACTGATGGGACTTCCACAATTGTATCAGGAGTTAATTTCACGCTGTATTAATGCTGTTAACGATACGATCAATTTGTCTGTTTGTTGTTGGACTGAATCAAGCCGATTGAATCGTTTAGGTGAGTTTTACTCTGTTTTTAATAGTCAGATTCGCGTAAATCATTTATCTTTGTGTAATGTATACTGCATTAATGTTTACGTTTGTTTATAATAAACTGTAAAATTTGGAATCGTTTCTCATCACGAACTTGATGAGAGCTGGATGACCACCGGAAGATAGGAAATGCTAAAATCCCCTGTCATCCTAGTCAGGGACTCCGCAATATGCGCCCACAGGCCGTCTGCACATCCAAGTCTCTCAACGAGCACGAGACTTTCGTGTCTAAAATTCTTTGTCTACCCTTTTGAATAACTACTTGCAACTCATGGCATCGCCTTCGGTTAGCTAGCTGTTCCTTTCACCTTCCGAATTCTCCTCAGGCTTACTACAAACCAGTTAAGTCTAGGCTTATGTCATGAAATTGCTCAACCCTGTTTGTAATCTTGATTAATCTGTTAGTTCACCGCATGTGAACAATGTTCTAAGAATGTTCATAATCGAACTTTCACTTTATCATCCTTATCACTAATATTATCTCTCATTATCATTTCGTGCATTTTGCCTATTATGTGTGGTTATACCAACCTATTTCGTTGTTATTAACTCATAAATTGTCTTTATTGGTTTAATACTCTCATACATCCATATAAGTATTCATGTATGTTAGAGTAAAGCCTGATGGTTATCTAATTGAAAACAATATTCTTCACTTATATGTGAGATACCTTATTTTGTGTGACATAAAGTCTAAGTTGTACAACGCTTCATCTTTGACAATTCTTGCTTGTAGTTGTATATTCCAGTTTCTGTGTTATACAAAGTAACATTTCGCGATCCATTACTTCTGCTGTTGTAATTCGTTTTACATGTAGACTTGACGTTACCTGATTATTTAAAGTCAGATAAGTTGTGCATAATTCTTCAACTAAATATATAAATGTTATCCTATTTTTAATGCAAATATCTTTCTAATTTTCTGTAGCGAAATTAGTCGAAAAAATCAAAACCTATTTGAGACCACCTTGGTTTTTTTGTCGTTTATGTCAGGTAAATCCTAATTGTATCTTACAGAATGTATTTTTCTGAAATATCATTGATTTTTTAAGCATACTGTAAAATTCTTATTCAATGAGAGTAGAATCATTACTGACTACTTTGATCTTACGCTTCAATCTAATTTCAAGCTTTCAAATTTTCTACACATAGATCGTCCAGTCGACAAAAGAAGAATGAGTATTTATGGTTTGTTGGCTTAAAAAAGAGTAACTTAAATGGTAAAGTGCTTAAAGCTATATTATATGGTGAAGTTTGGGAACACTCTCAATCAACTATTGTTTCCAATAATGCTTACTTTCTTAAATCAGAATAGCTCAAAAAATCACAACATACCTTTATTCATATTGCTCAACCGCCATGTTTACAATGGGTGTCTATGGTTCAAAACACGTAATTTATCGTCACAGAGGAAAGTATCTTTCAACCCGAATATTAATTGGTTTTAATAAACAAAATCAACTGACCCATATCTTACACTGACTGCTCATTGTGTTGTGATAAACAAATGTTAACTGACCGAAATCGGTTTATTTTTCCTTATTACATGCAGTCACTGGTTATACATCTATATGTTAACGTGTTACTATGTTCAAGATGGTATTTTAAAACACGCTTTGTATGTGTGTGTTGGTTGGTCAATGGACATACCGAAGTATGAGCTATAACTTTTTAATATTTTATTAGCATTGATAAGATCCATTATTTACTTGTTTATAAATGTGTAAGTAGTTGTTATCAATTAATTCTATCGTCCACTTTTATTTTCCATGCCGTGATGCTAATCTTTTACATTATTTATATTCATTCATATTATACCTGTAGTCTGTAATTTCCATTTATTCAAATGACACGGCTTCCTAAATTTTACCTCAAAAACAATAACACTATTACCTTGCGTTGTAATTAAACTTCTTGTGTAGAAGTGTACGGTTTGTAATCAATTCCACTGTTATGGAAAAGAAATAAGTTTCTGAACCATTTTTTGTGATTCTTTGTTGTATTGTCGTTATAGTATAATGAACAAAGAAGTCAAGTGGGGAAAACCAGTTTATTGTTCAATGTAAAATTAGTGTTTTCGTAAAATATGGAAACCATACATCAAATGCCTAATTTGTACAACTTCCATCAATTGTACTTTACAGGCTTCATGATTCTTTCAATTCCTTTGTTATTACAAGTACTTTCTGTTTTCTTCAATAGAATCTTCTGCACACGTGCATTCCACTTCCGACTGGTGCTACATACTACTCATATCTGTCAACATAAGTAGCATACGCCATAATAGTTCATAACCAATATTTCAGATCCCCTCGAGATATCCACTTGTTTATATAACTTGTTAAAGACTTGATTTTAATGCCAGTTTCGGTGATATACTGGTCACTTCACTTCGATACTTATGAACGTTTTCGTAATATTGGATTGTAGTTAGGTGCTTTCATGACTCCTCATTCGAATAATCTTTTCTCTCCTCATACTTATTCGTTGTGTAGTATTTTGATGCAATATGCATTTGTGGCAGATTTCACATCGATGACCGACTAACTTCTTGACGTCTACGAAATGTTCATATCTCTGACACCAGTATTCCGACACCATAAAATAATATGGGTGTAAATGTTATTAAATCAATCTCATGACTATTAAATCTTCTTTATCATTGCAAATACTCTTTTTTGCTAAGGATTTCATATTCGACCGGTACTTGAAATTGTAATATTTCAAACATAGCTTACCAAAGGAAATTACATATTTTAATATACGCTATAATGAATTTCTATATTCATCGTGATTACTCATTCCTGTTGTTTTACTTCAGGATGATATTACTGAGATGGTTCATTCTTATTTAATAAGTAACATGATTCATTTATTGGAAAAACACCAAGGAATCCAAGATCAATTTGAAAAACTTTATAATGTAAGTTTAAATTCTGTATTGCAACCGCAATTTCAAAATAGGAATTATGATTGTAGCAACTTGAGTAGGCAAAATAGAAATGTTTAATGATAATTTAGTACTTTTAGTATTATGGTATCAACCTTCTTTCCAACAAGAAAATACTTTTCCTGGTTTTTGCGTTTTGCTAATTCGTCATTTTAAAGTGTTATGCACTAGCCTGTTTGTCTATGACTATTATTGTTGACTATGTTACTATGGAAGGTAAATGAATTCTACTTTTTTAAACTGAATGATAAAGAATTATCGGAGACTAAGTATTGTTGACATTGGTTTTAACTTTGTATGTTTTGCTAAGAACTACTCTAGTTTCTGAAAATTTGAAGACTTTGACATAGTTTAAATTGCTCATACTCTAAAACTTTTAATTAAAGAACAAAATCAGATACATTTATCGTCATTTATTAGAAGGTACGACCCCGACAGATTGAGGGCAAATGATCTATGTTAAGAATCAAGACGAGTTTTTAAACATTCTAGTTTACTTTTATATGGACTTACAAATCAATATCAACATTTGAGCCTAGTATTGTAAGTAACTATACACTCAGTATAATATTGACAGGTTACTATTAATAGATGTACCACACGAAGCTGGTCACAGTTAATTTTAATTTACCTACGTCAAGGTTCTGTGATTTATTGATAGGGAAAGTGAGCTTATAAGAAATACTAGTGGCTCCCTAAGAAAACCACCTGCTTACATCTGCTATTGGCCTCATAGTCATTGTGTGGCGTTTATGTATTTGGTGCCCCTTGTACCGATGTTTATGTGTTCAAATACATAAATAAAGTAATTAAAACACATGTAGGCACCCACTGATAATTTGAATTGTGTAAGCATGGCACATACTCCACAGTTAATTCTTGATAATCATCGCTATCTGAAACCCGATTGTCTAGGAATTGTAGCGTGGCTTAACCATTCCTTTTAAGTACTAGTGACGATTGTAGTTTCTTATTTGATACTCACTTTCCTCCTGTTTATTTTACTCGTTTTAACAGCTGTTACAATCTGAAAATACCAGAGATACATTTATCCAACTATTCTATAATATGTTCACTAACTTAATAGAATTTGTGAAATATTCATATGCTAGTGTTGAAATCATTTATGCTAATTTATCCAAGTTGAAGAAAAATGAAATCCTATTACCTGCAATACTGGATCGATCTTGTCGTTTCCAATATTTACTAAAGTGTGTTCTATTAGGTATAGATTTGACCAGTAATATCAATAATCATGATGATAACAGCGATGTACCTATCAAACCAGCTATTTGCAATGAGCCCGCTGCTTTAAAAAATCAACTGTGTGAATTCTTAGCAAACATGTTGACAAGTTTTCCAAATGATGAATTATTAACCGGGTCCAATAATTTTAATCCGGAAAATTGTAAACAAGTAATTAGATTATATAAACAATTATCACATAAGTCTCCTGATAAGTAAGTGAAGGTTTCTCATTTATCCACCTACAGAATTAATTCATAATAAGTTTATTTAATTTCCTAAATTAGTTTGAATGAGGATAATGATGCATCACAAATTGACTGAAGTCGAAAATAATGACCACTAGGTTCCGACTTATTATTCTTAAGATATCATCATCCTTGTAAAGGGACCTGGACGCTGTTAATCCGATCCCATGCTTGTACATTTGTAGAGTCCCTAACTATGGCATAACATCGGTCTGTACTTGCAATGATTGATCACGTAGTCAACATTCAATTTCGTGTTTGAATGGTCCTGATCGAGTTCTGTCTATCAAGTTGCAGTATCCCTCTAGTCCAAATCAATCACCATATGCACCGTGTTTTTATGCTAGATGGTTGCAAGGAGTCGAGAGAAAACTCTGGGGTTAGGTTTTGTAGTAGTTGAGACTTGTCAACTATGGCAACCTAGTATCCTCAGAAAACTGATCCTCTCTGTGACACTAACCGGCATCACCCGACTCCATTGTTCGAAACGTTGCCGCTGAACTATCGGAACCATAGTTGACCTTCCGTAGGAAACTGCAAGTTTTAGGAAAATAGGATGACTGCATGACCTCATAAGGTACTGAGGTTTTAAAATCTATGACCATATCGATTCTCCATACAATTGACTTATACCTCTGGATCAAAACTTAATATATATTGACTATTCAATTATTTGCTTATGAAGCTTCTTAATGTTACAGATCAGAAGTACCTATTGATATGGTGATCAATATACTGAATATTTTTGCAAATTATGTCTGGGAAAGTGACTCCACTTCATGTAAGTTGACGTTCAGATGCACACTTCGATTTTATTTTGATATACGAATTGTAGCATCACTGTTTATTTTGCACTATATATTTTCATTGTCATGAAGTTTTACAGCTCCATTTGGCTTTACATCTAAGACTCTGTTCTTACTGCATTGAAAACCTTCCAATTATACATAAGTTCGACTGTATTAGTTTTTGTGATGAAAACCAAACAATATCCTTCTCCTAATTGACTAAACTAGTTAAATAGTTCCACCAAAAGGGGGTTATTGCAATGTCTATTAATTTTTAAAAACCCCTTTAATCGTTAATTCTGTATAGCTTCATGTCAGTATGACACATCAAGTTTTTCATTTTAGTGATTTCGTCCTGTGCTTAAATAATCAACAAACATGCATAACATTAATTACCAGAAATTTACTATGAATCATTTATTTTCAGAGACGGTATATATAGTATTTTATAAATTTAAGTATTCCGAAATAGAATGAATCCATTTTATGAACGTCTAACCCCAGTTGTCATTAGTCTGAAATGGCGAGCTGCAAACTTCAGAGACCAATCATGAAAGATATATTTTACTTGTTGGATAAAGGATCTCGATTTCGTAAACGCATCCTTACCCGTCTAACAACTCAGATCTGATGATTTATTTTACAATATATTTTAGCTTCGTCTTAGTTATACTTCGTAGTGGAAATGCGATTTCGTAAGTACGTTTTACTATGTTCGACGCAAATTTTTGCAACATTCCTAGTCTGATGCATTGTGAAACCGATGTGTTAAAATGGGAGAATGTAGTGTTTGCAAGTAGAACGCCCTTCTAATAAAAACCGACTAACAGGAATAACGGAATTCTATTTATACCAAGCAGCAGAACTTGTTTGCCTAATAAAACGCATTATTGGTAAAATACGAAACATGCGGTATTCATCTTTTTTTCGATTCACCTTAGGATGAATTGTTTTTTAATACAGTTGACGTCTAACCTTTCATTATAATCTTTCGAGTAGCCCGTCATAAATAAATCAAGCCAGTAGTTATTTGCTAACAACCAGTAAGAAACTGTTGGCCAATGTTCTGAACTGCTATTTAGTAGTACATTTTGTTTACATACAAATCTAAATAGCTTACTTTTTTTGTTTAGATATTGCATACCTTCCGTTACCGGCACTTGACAAAGACATAAACGACCAACTAGATGCTACTAATTACTGCGCTTATTTAACTGGGAGCCTACACCACCTCGTATTAAATGATAATGGTAAATTATGTTGACTAACACACCATAGTGTTTTTTTATTTGATTTTGTGATTACACGAGAAAAATTCACTCCTGAAATTTTCCCCAGCTTATGATCAATACAATTTCGCATACACAGTACAAAATGTACGATAAATTTGGACGGAAATTTTTTGTACAAGCAACTATAATTGTTTTCAAATCTGTTTAAAAAAAAGAATTAGGTTTCCTGAATATATTCCTTTCTTAGTTTTTTTCGCTGAGATGAGACGTAATTAACTTCCACTCAATATTTCACTTTATTATTATGTGTATTTCCTTACAGTGTATAAAATAACACATTATACTTTTCTCATTTACTTGGTTTTATATGTAAATTTTGTTCAGAAAAGTGCGGTTAGTTAAATTTGAGTTTTGTAGTGTACTGAATCGAACAATATTTGACATTATATTTACAATAAGATGTTTTACATCTTATAATGTCATGATGATAGATTTGTAGTGATGGCTGTCCAAGTTAGAACCTATTGAAATTCGTCGTTAGAAGTAATCCGACCACAAAACTTTCTAAGCGCAGTTTGGAAATATGTAGTCTTAATACCTCAAATGAATTTATACACAACCAGTTATAAACAAGGTTCCTCTTCACTATACAAATAAACTTAATGGGAGTTCTTTCTCGAACAAGTGAAGTATTTGCTACGTAGTTCATGACATAGAATCTTAATATACAGCTTTTAAAAAAATGCCATGAGCAGTTTCAAGTCTTATGAACGTAAACGAAAAACACTCGTCGTCGTACTCAAACAGCTTTTTGAGTAGCTACTATTTCCTCATTTATTTAAAACGTTAGCATCAGGTCTTGGATTTGAGCGGACATTCTTATTCATATAAATGAAGAATATAATAATGAAAAGGCTGGTATTGGCATAAATAACAAACTCATGTCAAAGTCTATTAGATTTAGGTAAATTTTAACATTCTTTATGGTCCAAAGTTTGAAGCACGCGAAACGGTTTACAAAACACCTGGTCCGCGTCCTCATAATTTGGTAGAATTGCATGTTTGTGCTGTATTCATGTATTCCTATCACACTGCTTTTTTATTTGATGGCTACACAAAGAAGTTAGTCAATTGACGATCCACCCTTGTGTCTGTAGTCTGTAACGTACGTTCATGTATACGATAGCTTTAAAGATGCTTAGAAGCGTGTATTCCCTGTCATTTTCAGTGGTTGCATGAGCGACGAAGATATACGATCCAAAATCAACTGTCACCTAACCATTATTATCAGTAACTGATGTCTGATGCATACTTTAATACACTGACCATATTGAAGCTTCTGTTTCTTACACGAACAGTAAAACCATTCCAAATTGGAAAGTAAGATCCATTAGCAGTTTCTCCTATGGATAGCTCTGAATGCTGTTATGGTATATTTGTGCTTTTTTATACTATCGTAATAGTTTTGTATGACGCACAACTGACTATTAATTTTATACACTGAAGAATGGATTTTAAAAAGTCCAGGGTTAAAAATTTCAATAATTCCTCGCACTTTACTGAAACTGGGCTTATAAATAGTCACTGAATCAGTGTTAATAGTCCACACAAGAATGAAATTAACCTCAACCAACTAAAATAATATGTTTTCAAAGATATGGCAAACGCATGTATGGAGAGATACTTGAACAAGATGAACTCACTACTGATTAACCTGTAAAACGAATGAAATTGTATTGTAATGTCGCCAATTCCTTTTAGATAACTAAATAAAAATGTGTAATCATCATTTAGGAATGAGATTTCCTAGGTTTAAATAAATCTCGATTATATGAAGTAGAATACGACACAAGGGCTGGCGCTCACCACTGATAACTTTCTGATTTTCTAGAGAAAATTCCTTGACCATCACAACCCGGTTAAAGCACCGGACATTCGCTTCTCGTTCTCTCAATTTCGTAAACAACACGAGAAGGCAGTAAGACTTCCCTGGCAACGGATGTATACGCGTAGCCATGTGAGAATATTTTGTGAGGAAAAGCGGACTCCTCATCCTCGGCGTTACCTGGGCATTTGGGAGCCCTTAATCAGTATCCTTACATTTTAAAAGGAAACCAGTGGCAGATTGGTGAGAAAGAATCCTTAAATTTAAAATATTTAATGCATTTACACCGTGCCAACTTTCACAATTTAGTTATGAATTCGTATGTACAGACAACTTTTAGCTTGTATTTCAAGAGAGCATTTGTAAATACAAAGATATAAACTAGTTTCTTTCTCGACGTCCTTTCTTGCGTCTTAAACGCTTCAGCTGTTTCTTCTTTTTCTAAATTTCAATCATTAATTACAACAACAAAACTCACCTTTGTTGGGGGCGGTTTATATTCCAAATCTTCATCCGACTACGTTTTTTTTTAAAAAAAAGTGTATACAATATTAGCAGAGATATATTTATTGATTTATTACAAGTTAACAACATCTAAATACATCACCTGAATGTTAGTTATCACAAACTGAAGCGGACTGCTAGTAATACGTGACTGCGATACTAGTTGTCGAAAATGTAAATGACGCTTTAATTGGACACTGACATCAAAGTAGCAATCGACAAGTAAACCAAATGGTAAATTATTTAGGGAATAAGGCTAAAAAAATAGTCCACACGGGTCATTTTTGACTGTTGATTATTAGTCATATATTTAAACACAAGTACTGATACAAGTGGGCACCAAAAGCACTGTGGACCACGCAATAGAGAAATGAAACATTGAAGGGGCAGATGACTTACTTACGCTTGTTAATCATCGTAGAGGAGCATGGGTCGCTCACCAGCATTCTTCAACGAACTATGTCCTGGGCAATCCTTCCCAGTTGCTATTCATCCTTTTGATATCTGCTTTCACTTCTCGACGCACTGTGTTCTTTGACCTTCCTCTTCCTTGTTTAACTTCAGGATTCCAAGTAAGTGCTTGCCTCATGATGCAGTTTGGTGATTTCCTTTATGTGTGTCCTATCCACTTCCGACGCATTTTCCTAATTTCCTCCTCAGCTGGAAGTTAGTTTGTTCTCTCCCACAGTAGACTGTTGCTGATGGTATCCGATCAACCGACATTGAGTGTCATGCGTAGACAACTGTCCATAAATACCTGTACCTTTTTGATGATAGTTGTAGTAGTTCTCCACGTTTCAGCTCCGTACAGTAGGACTGTCTCGACGTTCGTATTGAAGATTCTGACTTTGATATTGATTGAAAGTTGTTTTGAGTCCCATGTGTTCTTAAACTGTAGGAATGCTGTCCTTGCTTTGCCAATCCTTGCCTTTACATCCGCATCCGATCCTCCTTGTTCATCGATGCTACCCAGGTACGTGAAAGATTCCACATCTCCATAAAGTGTGATTGGCTTGATGTTCTTCATGTTGTATTTAAGGATCTTGTTTATGTTGAGACCTGCTGATGTAGAGGCAGCTGCTACACTGTTTATATTGACTTGCATTTGCTGGTGTGTATGGGATAGAAGAGTTAGGTTATCTGCGAAGTCCGAATCGTCTAGTTGTATCCAAGCTATCTGTTGTATTCCGTGCATCCCTCCAATATGTAGGTCTTCATAATCCAGTCAACCACCAGAAGAGAAAGAGGGAGAGCAGGCAGCCTTGTCTTACTCCGGTCCTCAATTAGAATGCATCTGTCAGCTGTACTCCGCGCACGACTTCGCGATGTATTCCATCGTATGAATTCCGGATGTTGATGATTCTCTTACGTACTCCATAGTGTTGAAGAAGTTTCCACAATATTCTCCTATCCACTGTCAAATACTTTCTCACAGTCAATGAAGTTGATATGTAGTGACGAGTTCCATTCAATCGATTTTTTGACGATGGTCCGTAGTGTCGCGACCTGGTCTGTGCGCGACCGATCCTTGCAGAATTCAGCCTGTTGATCTCGAAGTTGGGTGTCTACTGAGTCTTTTGTGTGGTTCAGCAACACTGTCGAAAACTTTTCCTGGTACCGAAAGTAGTGTGATGCCTCTGTAGTTTTCACATTCGCTCGAATCTCCATTATTTGGTATCTTGATGAATTATCCTCCTTTCCAGTCCCCCGAAATCTTCCTAAATAGAATGTGAAGAATGTTTGCGACTACTTCTATGTCTGATTTCACTGTTTCGGCTAGTATATTATCAGGTCCTACTGCTTTCACATTCTTGATTCGTCTCATGGTCATCCTGTTTTCATCGATCGTTGGTGGAGTGACATCTGTAGGTGCTGCTTCGATTTCCAGTGAATTCAAAGAAACTGTCCTGTTCAAGAGTTCCTTAAAGTGTTCGACCTATCTGTCCCTTTGTCTTTTCAGGGATTGTCTTGCCTTCTTTGTCCTTGGCAGGTCTCTCTGGTTTCTTTGTCATGACATATAGTTGTTTCATATTTCCTTCTCTTGTAGCTTTTCCCGCTGTCATCGCTAGCTCATCCATGTATTTCTGCTTGTCGGTTCTAATGTTCTTATTCATTCGCTTGTTTGCTTCTGTTTATTCGGTTTGTGCCTTGATTTTCTGTTCTTGTTAGGCTTTTGTTAATTGCTGTCTTCTTGTTCCTGCTTTCTTGAATCTTGTTCAGGGTTTCGATGGAGATTCACTCCTTATGATGCTTGTTGCGGCCCAGAACCTCCTAACACGTTGAAGTCAGTGCTTCTTTGATTCCTTTCTGGTTGTCCTGCATAGTAGTTTTTTCTTTCACTAGATCCTGCAAGGCTTGGAACCTGTTGTTGAGAGCTATCTTGAGTTCGTCGAGTTTGTCAGTATCTGAAAGGAATGTTGTATTGAACCTTTGTAATACTGTTTCTCCAGTTGTCCATTGCTTCTTTAGCTTCAGTTTCATCTTGGCAAACACTAGGTGGTGATTTGAATCTGTCAGCTCCTCTCCTGGTTTTCACGTCTTCCACTGACCTGAATTTTTTACTGATGTAAATATGATCTATCTGGTTCTCCATGATGTGGTCCGGTGAGACTAATGTAGCTTTGTGTATGCGTTTGTGTGGGA